AATCCTATATCTGGCAAAGCTGTCCCTCGAAAATGAGGGAGAAATTAAGACATTCCCAGATAGTTATAAGCTGAGGGAGTTTGCTACCACTAGGTGTACCCTGCAAGAAATGCTCAAGGTTCAATGAAAGGACACTAGACAGTCACTCGAAGCCCTGTGAAGAAATAAAGATCTCTGAGAAAGTAAATACATGGACAATTATGAAGGCTAATATTATTGTAACCTTTGTTGTAAACTCTTGAATCAAAAGACAGAGATGGAAAGAATGGCTTAAGAAAATAATAATCCAACTATATGCCGTCTAAAAGAGGCTCGGTTCACATCCAAAGACACAAATAGGTTGAAAGTGAAAGGATGGGAAAAGATGTTTCATGTAAATAGTAACCAAAAGTGAACAAAGGTGATTAGACTAATATCAGACAACGTAGACTTTTAATCAAAAAAGATTACAGGAAACAAAAAAGGACATTATATATTAGTAAAAGGTTAAATACAGCAAAAAGATACAACAATTATAAACATTTTACATTCTTAATAACAGACCTAAATATGTGAAGGAAAATTGGCAGAATTGAAGGGAAAAATAAACAGTTGTACAATAATAGTTGGAATTTTAATATCCCACTTTTAGTAAGGGACAGAACAACCAGACAGAAGATAAGGAAATAGAGGACTTGAACAACACAGTAAACTCGTGGGATCTGGCAGCGTAGAGAGCGCCGTGCCTGCCAGCCACGGAGCGCACACACACACAGCCTGCTACTGGTGGGGGCACAGCAGTGTGAGTTTGTCCATGCCACTGAACTGCACACTTCACAGTGGTTCAAACGACCTCCAGAAAGCAACCGTAAAGGGACATGGGTCATGGGGCCAGCCCCGTGGCTGAGTGGTTGGGTTCGCATGCTCTGCTTCAGTGTCCCAGGGTTTCTCCGGTTTGGATCCTGGGAGCACACATGGCACCACTCATTAGGCCATACTGAGGCGGCGTCCCACATGCCACAACTAGAAGGACCCACAACTAAAATATACAACTATGTACTGGAGGGCTTTGGGGAGAAAAAGGAAAAATAAAATCTTTTAAAAAAGAAACATGGGTCTTTGAATTACCTGACAAAGAATTTAAAACAGTTGCCTTAAAAATGCTCAGTGATGCTAAAAGGAAACATAGAGAAGTAAATGAAATCAGGAAAATGATGTATGTACAAAAATGGTAAATTTTATGTTATGTATATTTTACCATAATTAAAACAAACAGAATTCAAAAAAAAAATACAAACGATTGTAAGAGAATACTGTGAAAAGCTATACGCCAACAAAGTGGATAATCTAGAAGAAATGGATAAATTCTTAGACTTATACAACCTTCCAAAACTGAATCAAGAAGAAATGGAGAATTTGAATAGACCAATTGGCAGTAAAGAGGTCAAAACAGTAATCAAAAACTTCCCAAAAAATAAAAGTCCAGGACCAGATGGCTTCCCTGGTGAATTCTACCAAATGTTCAAAGAACACTTAATATCTGTCCTTCTCAAAATCGTCTGAAAAGTTGAAGGCGGAGGGGAGCTTCCTAACTCATTCTAGAAACCCAACATTACCCTGATACAAAACCAGAGAAGGACAACACAAAGAAAATTACAGGCCAATATCACTGATGAACATTGATGCAAAAATCCTCAACAAAATACTAGCAAATCAGATACAACAATACATTAAAAACACCGTACACTGTGATCAAGTGGGATTTATTCCAGGGATGCAGGGATGGTTCAACATCTGCAAATCTATCAACGTGATACACCACGTTAACAAAATGAAGCATAAAAATCACATGATCATCTCAATAGATGCAGAGAAATCATTTGACAAGGTATAGCACCCATTTATGATAAAAACTCTGAATAAAATGGGTATGGAAGGAAAGTACCTCAACATAATAAAGCCCATAGACGACAAACCCACAGCTAATGTCATCCTCAATGGGAGAAAAACTGAAAGCTATCTGTCTAAGAACAGGAACCAGAGAAGCGTGCCTATTTTCACCGCTCTTATTTAACATAGTATTGGAAGTCCTAGCCAGAGCAATTAGGCAAGAAAAAGAAATCAAAAGGATCCAAATTGGAAAGGAAGAAGTGAAACTGTCACTATTTGCAGATGGCATGATTTTATACACAGAAAACCCTAAAGAATCTACTAAAAAAAATTTTAGAAATAATAAATGAATACAGTAAAGTTGCAGGATACAAAATCAATGTACAAAAATCAGTTGCATTTCTATACACTAACAACGAAGTAGCAAAAAGAGAAATTAAGAATACAATCCCATTTACAATTGCAACAAAAAGAACAAAATACCTAGAATAAACTTAACCAAAGAGGTGAAAGAGCTGTACCTGAAAACTATAAAACATTGTTGAAAAAAATTGAAGAAGACAAAGAAATGGACAGGTATTTCATGCTCTTGGATTGGAAGAATGAACATCGTTAAAATGGCCATACTTCCTAAAGCAATCCACAGAGTCAATGCAATCCCTATCAAAGTTCCAACAACATTTTTCATGGAAATAGAACAAAGAATCCTAAAATTTAGATGGAACAACAGAAGACCCCGAATAGCCAAGGAATCCTGAGAAAAAAGAACAAAGCTGGAGGTATCACACTCCCTGATTTCAAAATAGACTACAGAGCTACAGTAACCAAAACAGCATGGTACTGGACAAAAACAGACACACAGATCAATGGAACAGAATAGAGAGCCCAGAAATAAACCCAAACATCTATGGACAGCTAATATTCAACAAGGTAGCCAAGAACATACAATGGAGAAAGGAAAGTCTCTTCAATAAATGGTGTTGAGAAAACTGGACAGCCACATGCAAAAGAATGAAAGTAGACCATTATCTCACACCATACACAAAAATCAACTCAAAATGGATTAAAGACTTGAATGTAAGACCTGAAACCATGGAAATTCTAGAAGAAAACATAGGCAGTGCGCTCTTCGACATCAGTCTTAGCAGCATATTTTCAAGTACCATGTCTGACCGGGCAAGGGAAACAATAGAAAAAATAAACAAATGGGACTACATCAAACTAAAAAGCTTTTGCACAGCAAAGGAAATCATTAACAAAACGAAAAGACAACCTAACAATTGGGAGAAGATGTTTGCAAACCACATATCTGATAAGGGGTTAGTATCCAACATATACAAAGAACTCATACATCTCAACAACAAAGAACTAACAACCCATTTTAAAAATGGGCCAAAGATCTGAACAGAGATTTCTCCAAAGAAGGTATACAGATGGCCAACAGGCACGTGAAAAGACGTTCATCATCAATAACTATCAGGGAAATGCAAATCGAAACTACGATGAGGTATCACCTCACTCGGGCCAGAATGGCTGTAATAACAGGACAGGAAACAACAAGTGTTGGAGAGGATGTGGAGAGAAGGGAACCCTCGTACACTGCTGGTGGGAGTGCAAACTGGTGCAGCCACTATGGAAAATAGTATGGAGATTCCTCAAAAAATTAAGAATAGATCTACCATACGATCTAGCTCTTCCACAGCTGGGTATTTATCCAAAGAACATGAAGACACGAATGCATAAAAGATACATGCACCCCTGTGTTCATCATACCATTATTCACAGTAGCCAAGACTTGGAAGCAACCTAGGTGCCCATCAGAGACAAATGGATAAAGATGTGGTATATATACACAATGGAATACTACCCAGCCATAAGAAACGATGACATCTGGCCATTTGTGACAACATGGATGGAACTTGAGGGTATTATGCTACATGAAATAAGTCACAGGGAGAAAGTCAAATGCTGTATGAAACAACACCAAATACATAGAGACAGATTGGATTGGTGGTGACCAGAGGGGAAGCGGGGATGGAGCAGGGCAGAGGGGGTGACTAGGCACACGTGTGTGGTGATGGATTGTAATTAGTCTTTGGGTGGTGAACCTAATGTACTCTACACAGAATTCAAAATATATTACGATGTACACCTGAAAGTTATATAATGTTATAAACCAATGTCACCGCAATTAAAAAAAAAATGTCAGCTCTTCTCTGAGGTTCTTTCAGTTGCTCTGGGGAGACAAGCTCACTGGCCGTGGGTGTGGTGGAAAGGGCAGCAGGCTTAGAGCCAGGAAGCCTGAGGTCCATCCCCAGTCCTTCCTTCTCCCATCTCCTCTGCCATCGCCCCGTCCCAGCCGCCCTCATCTCTCACCTGGACCACAGCAGAGCCTCCTGGCTGGTTCCTCCACAGCCCACGCAATAGTATTATTTTGCATGGCATCCGACAGATGTCGCTGTTTCCCTCAAAAAGGTGTACACTCTGACCTGTGCACCACTGTGAGTTCACTGGGGTGTCCTGGGGTGCCTGGTGCACAGTGGGGGAACTCACATTTGTGAACACCTATAGGTACCGGGCCCCGTGTAAGGGCTTATGTAGTTGATCATTTAATACTTAAAATAATAGTGTGACACAGGTAATGTAGTTTTATCAGTTTTCCTAATGTAGAAATTGAGCCTCTCAGAGGTTCTGCCTCCTGTCCAAGTGCTCCTGCAGATTACCTAGAGATCCGAACCCCCAGCAGAAGTTTGAGGAGGTTTCTTCGTGTTTTGGGTGAGAGATGAAATCAACGTATTGACTTTATGCCAGAGCTGCGCTGCCTCACTTTAGAAAAATAAAATCCACACCCTTCGCCACACGTAGAGCTAGGCAGCCTGGCAGCTGTTCTATAGGAAACGTCTTGCCCCTACATTGTGCCGGTTTGCTGTTTACTGTCGCTCCCGTGGCTGATTATAACCCTAGTCATTCTCGCCCCAGGAGAGAGACTAAGATCTCCTCCTCGTTTTGGAAGGATGCTCCGTTTTGGTGATACTCTCAAACTGTGGGAGATTTCTGCTAGAAATACGAAAAGAGAGAAAGGGGTCCCGACATAGGACAAAGGCTGGAGCCTCTGTGCCTGGAGGGCTCACCTAGGACATCAAAGGCAGGCAGGACATCAAATTCCACCCCCTCATTGAGCTGGGGCGACGTGAGCACGAAGCTGAGCGCGCGGGGCCTCGCCCACTGCTGCCCCTGGACCTCGAACTCCACGTCAAACCTCTTCTCTCTTTGACAGGCTTTCAGCTGCCTTCGAATCTCCTCGATGAACTCTGCTCGGCGCTCGAACTGCTCCCGGAAACTCGTGAGGTAGTCAAGGAAGACGACAAGGTCAGCATCGGATCGGCCTCTGAGGGTCGTGCCTTTGCCTGAGGAGCCACCCTAAAGCAGGTGAGAAGGAGAGCTCACCTTTACCGGGAAGAGCCCCCCCTCAGTAAAATGACCATCACCAGACAACAATCACTAACATTCTTGAGCGCCAGCCCCGGTCCGAGGGCATTTCCAGTCTTCACCCCTCCAGCGCCCACGAGGATTCTGCCATCGACCTACGGTTGTTGTGAGTTCCCACTTTACAGACGAGGAAACATGCTCAGAGAGGTCGTGTATCGGCCTGATCACACTGCGAGTAGGGGGGCAGAGATGCAGTTTAAACCCTGGCTGCCTTGTTCTTGAGTCTGTGTTCTTTACTCCCTGTCTGCTACTACCTTATACTGTTATACACTGTAGACCAGCCCAGGCTTCCCCGCCTTGTTTTACTGAATCTGCACAATCTATAAGGTACTGGGAATTATGGACCAGGAAACAGAGGCACAGAGAGGTTAAGTGACTTGCTCAAAGTTTCACAGCCATAGGTGCTATGTCCTTTCAAAACTTATCCTCTTACCCAGTTCATGATCCTGTAGAAACAGTGACTCCCCAGCCTGGCTATTAATTAGCAGATGGTTGATCAGAGCTGAGCCTCAGTTTCCCCATCTCTGAAATGGGTGTGGCCTCAGACGGTGGTTTCCAAACTTCACCCGGGCATTTGTTAAAAAATTGCAGATGTGGGGGCTCAGCCCGGAGGCTATTTTAACAGCTTGTGGTTCTGCTCTTCGTGTGCTTACATCAGACAGCCCCAGTCCCGCCCCGGACGTTTTGCTCTCTCCCTTCCTCTCTGGAAACTCTTGCCCCTGGAGCCAACCCCTCCCCAGGGAGGCGGGCGGCCCTGAGCTCACCTTCACCACTTTGGACACCCGCACAGGGGGAACGGCACCTCGGAAACACCTCTCCTTCAGGAAACTGCAGATAATGTCGATGGCTTCTCGGACCTGCCTGCGGAACCGTGTGTCTGGCAAGAGATAGTCTTCAATGAACTTGTCCAGATTCCTGGCTGGGGTCTTTTGGAGCTCCATCGTGACGCCCGGGTGGGGACAGAGGAGCTGGTGGCTGCAGGACTGGCTCCCAGAAACTGTCAGCCTCTCTCTCTTACGTTGCCTGAGTCTGGGCTGCTGTTGGTTTTGTTTCCTTGGAAGCAGGAAGTCGTCTTCCGAGTCTGGGCTGCCGTTTGGTTTCGTTTCCTTTGCCTCTTAGCAAAGCAAACATTGCTTTCACCTCTGAGCCGCGTCTGCCCTCCCAGCTCGTTCCTCCACTCCCTGAAATTCGCGGTTCTTTAACCAGCAGCCCGGAGCGTCGAGCCTTTCTTCAGACTGTCCTCGGAAAATGTTGCTTTGTCACCCTCATTAGGATCTCATCCAAGAGAAATCATAATTAAAAACGGATTTTTTAAATTTCCTTCCTTGTCTTTTTTTGTTGCTGGCAAAATTGTTTTATAGTCTGCTATGATCTTTACAGCAGCGTGTGCATATGAGAAAAAGAAAAAAGGCAGAAAAATCAGGAAGCGTAAAGATCACCCACGATCCTCAAACCCGAAGACGACCACTGCAGACATCTTGGTACCGGCCTTCTCAGACGCGTTTCTAGGTTAAGACACACACACACACACACAGCTCTCTCTTCTGTTTTATAAAAATGGCATCCCATTATGCTTTTTTTCCTTTTGATTGTTAGACATTATTTCTTACAGCAGTTTTATGTTTACAGAAAAACTGAACAGAAAGCACAGACTCCCATATGCCCCCTCTCCTTCCACCCGTAATTTCTCCTGTCATTAACATTGGCGTGGTACATATTTTTACAACTGATGAATTGACATACAGTCATGCACTGAATAACGACGTTTCAGTCAGTGACAGACCATATACACGATGGCGCCCCCATAAGTACCACACGGTCCAGATGTGTCGGAGGCTGTGCCATCTGGGTTTGTGTAAGCAACGCTATGATGTTTGCACAACGACAAAATCACCTAATAAGGCATTTCTCAGAACGTATCCCCATCGTTAAGCGGTACCTGACTGTAGATATATCATTATTAACTAAAGTTTCTGGTTCCCATTAGGGTTCTCTTTGTGGTGTTTATTCTGTGGGTTTGCCAAATGCATAATGTCATGTATCCACCATTATGACATGACACAGAATAGTTTCACCACCCTAAAAATTCGTTTGTTCCGCCTGTTCATCCCTCTCTGAGTTCAGATCTCCCTTTCTAATCTATGCGTTCAAAGCCAAAAATTTCCCTCAAGCACTGCTTTCGCTGCATCTCACAAATTTTAATTGTTTTTTTTTCTGAGGAAGATTCGCCCTGGGCTAATATCTATGCCAATCTTCCTCTGTTTTTTAGTATGTTGGGCCGCCAGCTCAGCATGGCCACTAACAGAGCAGGGTAGGTCCGTGCTCAGGAACTGAACCCAGGCCGCCAAAGCGGAGCGCACTGGGCTTAACCACGAGGGCACCAGGGCTGGCCCAAATTGGTTGTTTTTTCTTTTTCTTTTTTTGGAAGATTAGCCTTGAGCTAACTGCTGCCAATCCTCCTCTTTTTTGCTGAGGAAGACTGGCCCTGAGCTAACATCCGTGCCCATCTTCCTCTACTTTACATGTGGGACGCCTACCACAGCATGGCGTGCCAAGCAGTGCCATGTCTGCACCCGGGATCCGAATTGGTGAACCCCGGGCCGCCGAAGCGGGACGTGTGAACTTAACCGCTGCGCCACTGGTCCGGCCCCTGTTTTTCCATTTTTATTGTGCAAAATATTTTTAAATTTCTCTTGAGACTTTTTGCTCCATGTGTTAGTTAGAAGCGTGTTATTCAATCTCCAAATGTTTTGTAATTTTCCAGATATCTTTCTTTTATTGATTTCTTGTTTAATTCTATTGTAGACAGCATACTTTGTATGATATCTATTCTTTTGAATTTTTGAGGGTGTGTTTCATGGCCCAGGATGTGGTCTGTCTTGGTGAATGTTGGATGTGAGCTTGAGAAGAATGTGTATTCTGCTGTTGTCGGATGAAGTAGTGTGTTAATGCCAATTAGCTGCCTTTCTGAATCACTCTTCTCTTAGCGAGCTCATCAATTAATTGACACTCCCCACTACTTCTGGATGACATGGTGACTTACGCCTCAAGCAAAATGTAACCACGAAGGGGGTGGGCATCCACCTATGGAACACCCATGGCTCACCAGATGGTGAGCAATATATCGAAGATTCTGTTTGCTCCTTAATGCCTTTATGGCAACTGTACTTGTTAATGAAATGTGTACTTTTGACTGAATATATACAAACAGATCCAACATGAGTGCGAATGAGATCTCTCCTTAGAAAACCAACACTGAATTCTTTGGAAAGATGCAATAAAGACGAGTTTCATAAAACATTGCGTAGAATTAGGGCCAAGCAAGACAACTGTAAAAGATGGAGGAGGTACTTGGAAAAATCCAGAATTATGCCCTCATGCCCCTGCAGGTAGCTTTAAGCTCATTAGAGAACCAGGAACAGGAAATAATAGATGGCTTATTCTTGTGCCGTCTTAGGCAAGACAGATAACACGGGACTCCAGTCAGGGGTCTGCCCTCAGCAGAAAGATCTAGGTATTTACTGAACGATTGGGAAATTAAGATATATTTGCAGCACCTGGAAGCCAAGTCAGAGAATCATGAAAGTCTGATGTCTTACCTACGGAGTCAAAGACCCACAGCGGGAGATGACTTGCTCAAGGCCACACAGCAAGTTTGGGCCAGAGCCAAGCAAAATATACCTCTTGCATGCATGCATGGAGATCTGTGTTTCTATGGTGTGGTGTATTATTTAACCTTATTAGGACAACGCCCCTGGCAAACCGCACTGAGCTAAGGAGGGGCCAGTGTTTCCTCCCCTTGGCGCTGTGCCCAGCTTGCATTGCTTTCCCCAGGAACCGCCAGCCGCTTGACCGTCCCCTTTCTGGGCCTCACCCTTGTCAGCCCTGATGGGAGACCAGACCTTGGCAACTGAGTCTCACCCCTTTGAAATATTTATTCTTGTCCCCATTTTCCAGATGAGGAAACTGGGCCTCAGTGCGGTCAGCGTCCACAGCTTGAAGGTGACAGTCAGACTTTGGATGATGGACTGAACGGATTAAAGAGCTGGTGTGCTTTCCCGGGTCAGGGGCTCTCTACCACTCCACCGTGTCTCTTGCAAAGTGTTTTGTTTATTAGCCAAGTCGGGTGTACGAATATTTACGAGAACTTTCCTCATGTGTATTCATCGCAGCCTATTAGGCCTGTTCCCTTGCCCAGGGAAGGAGATCAACCATTACAGATGGAAATCAGGTTTCTTTTCAATTGCCCGTGACTGACAGCTGGTGGCTGCTGTGTAGAATGCGGTGTTGAGAAGGATTCAGAGGCTGCTAGTCGGCTCTGTGGGAAAGGTGCCATATTGATTAGTGATGTCTGCCGTGAGCACAGGGAGAGATTAGTGATGTCTGCCGTGAGCACAGGGAAAGAGAGTGGCAACAAGTGTCTCCCGCCGTCCCTTGGAGCCTGGTGTGACCCTAACTGGTCCCTCTCTCCACCCGGTGGCAGCTGGCTAAACTGTAGGCAAAATGGATGGGCTTTAGGGCGGTGGTTTGCAAAGTCACGTTGAGGTGGAAGAACGGGGCACCAACCAGGAAGTATTTTCAAACAGACCCCTCGTCCACAGGGTGCAGCAGAATCCAAGGGGAGGAGAAGGGACAGGGAGAGCACTAGTAGTTTTGAAAAAAAGGTCTCCCCAGGTGATTCGAATCTGCCGACTTCTGCCCCTAACCTTGAGCATCACCCTTTTGGGGCTGAGAAAGAAAATTGTCTCAAACTTGGCTCAAAAGAGAAGTTTCTGTTGGTTGGAATGGAGGCTCCTTCTGGGAAGCAACCGATGTCCCTGGTAAATTGCCTCAACACTTTTGGGCTATGTTATAGATCACTTTCAGGACCGCTGAGAATCTCAAGTGAGGGGCTATCCGTGAAGTCTCCTTACAGGACGGAAGATTCTAGAACACAAAGGAGCCGTTTGATGAGCTGTGTTACTGTTAACCAGCGTGTTAAGAGTGCTGCATGAGGAGTTCCACAATCTAGATTCTTTCCTGGCATCGCTGCCCTGAGACATCGGTGTGTCCGTCCCTTCTCCAGGCTTTGGGTTGCCCACCTGTCAGGTGAGTGAGTGGACGGAACTCTGGGCCCCTTTCAGCCTTGGCTTGTTGCCCGCCGGCCCCAGGTGAGCTCCACAGGAAGACCAACTCCACGTGAGCCGCGAGCACATCTGCCTTGCTCGCCGCACTGTCCTCAGTGGCTGGAGCACGATGACGCTCACTGCATGTGACTCTCCAGACAGCACGTGTCCTGGTGGGGAGGGGGACCACCCAGAAACCAGAAAGGAAGAGCACAGGCCACCAGTGTTCTTGGGTATTCCTACTTTATTTTTGGCTACATCATCACAAAGAGAGGCGGGGTGGCTCTGCATGCACCAGAGGGCGTGTGTGTATTCTAGGCAGGAAGGTGGTTACACTTGTCAGAGGGGGAAGAGCGGGCCAGGGCTGGGGGCGCTGTGAGCCTGCCGCATGCTGGTCCCAGCGTCAGGCCTGGGCCACACAGCCAGTGTGCTGTCTCCCAGGGGCGAACGTGGAAAGGTGAGCTGAGGGTGGGCGCCAAGGGGCCCTGGACAGAGAGAGGGTCAGGAGGGAAGATGGCAGCCAGGAAGCTATTGGCCATCTTGGGGAAGGCAAAGAGCTAGATGCTTAGAAAACGGTTATTCAAGGCAACAAATCAGTAACTTCCAATGAATTGTGAAGGGAGCTGGCGGAGGAGGGCATTGAGAGGGCAGGTCAACAGGTGTGTGTTTGGAGAAAGTGAGCGTTTTAGTGTCCATCTGATGACTTCTCCAGACAATGGTGGGGTCTTGGGCACAGGGGGGTGATTTTCACTGGGAAAGACTTAACGGAAGTTGGGAAAAACCAAGCCTTTCTCATAGGGCACTGAGGATTGCCTGGCCCCAACCTCAAATTCATACTGTTTGTCCTCCTTGCTTTTTCATCCTTTTTATTTTTTAGGAAGGAAGACTAAACAATTTGTGATGGAACCATAGCCTTTGGTGTCAGGACCTGTCTCTCTCTGAAGTTTTTGATCCACGATGCCATTTCATTCTCGTGACACACTTGGTGAAGAGGGTGTGAGAGAGAGAGAGACCGAGACAGAGAGAGACGAGGAGAGACAGAGACTGGAGGCAATTCTGAGTGAGAGACAGGAGGTGAGAGGGTCTGAGAAGCAGGGAATCAGAGTGCCAGGGCGGGGGCTCATTGAGTCATGTCACTAAGACCAGAGGGAGGAGCAAGGCTGGGGGCTCTGGCGAGGCCCCCTCGGACCCAGAACTCTGGTTTCTAAATGCCTTCTGGGCCCACTTGGGGAGGCTAGTGGCTGAGAAAGCCCTTCTGCGGGGCATCTACACAGCTTGCGGGATGCTGCTATGCACCTGGGGCCGCGCCAGCAGCTGGCCCAGGCCTGAAGACCTCTGGCTCTGCCGGCAGGAGAAGTGGGTGGTCTTAAGGACCACGGGCCTAAGTGGAGCTTCAGGGTTTTGCCAGTTTCTCAGAGTTTGCTGGTCAGGCTGGCGAGAGAAGGCGGGGGGTGAGGCTGTGTTGGGATATTTTTTGCTTTTGCTATTTTACTCCCTTAGAGAGGGAGGGGGAAGGAAGGGAGAGGTTAACGTGGTGCAAGGAGAAGGAGAGAGGAGGAGGGAGCAGGAGGTGGGTAGAGATGGGGGTTATTTTTTGCTAGGAAGCAAATAGTGACATCCTGAAAGACGAGGGATACCAAGGCCCTTTGTGTTTTCTGCGTGTCCACTTCTGGATGCATCTGGAGCCGGGAGGGTGTGTTCCTAGTCACCGGGGAGTTAAACACAGCTGTCTGTTCTCCTGGCCATTGGGGTGCATGTCACGGAGAGGCGGTGGGAGCCTGGGTGCTCTATTTCTGCCCCAATGCCCGTCCTCACAGTCTTGTCCGGGTCTGCGGACAACTGAGGACATACATAGACACGACACAGGAAACGCAATGGGTGTGTGTGTGTGTGTGTGTGTGTCCAAGGCCAGGAGGGTCTAAAAACAGTCCCAAATGAAGAGGAACCTCTGTAATTTACCTGAACTGAGAGGTTAAGTTAGCAAGCTCCCTGTAAAAATCTCCCCAGCCCTATCCCAATTGCTCATCCTGGAGCGACAAGAGAGGGGCAGCATTCAGAAACTGCATCGCAGCATCGCGGAGCAAGGAGGAAGGTCTTTGGCAGCAGTGCCCAAGGTGAGGGGGAGACCTCACAGGCAGGCTCAGGGGTGGATGGGGGAGGGGAGGAGTAGGGCAGAGAGACCGGAGTACACGGGCGGCTGGGGTAGGCTGGGGGGTGACCTGGGCATGGGGCGGGGACCTGGGGACCTGGGCGCCATCCTAATCGCTCGACACGTGGTTCTCGTTCTGCAGCTGGTGCCAGCGCTCGATCTTCTTGTCCTTGTTTTTCAGACACTCGTACCAGTGTTTTAAGCGCTCTCCCTTCGCTGAGATCCCCAGCTGGCAGCCCCCTGGAGGACAAGATGGGAAGAGAGGGGCAGTGGTCAGAGTGGAGGGCCGTAGGGGACTCTCCTTCCGGACCCAACTGTCTCGTTGGAGAAAATCTGCCACCAAGGAGGGACGCCCTCCAGCGACTTGGGATCCATTCTCTATGGAGGGTTGTTGTTACGATGCTATTCTGACTCCTGGCTTCTCTGCCTGCAGGACACCTAGGCGGGAACCTGCTGCAGCGCGAAGTCATAGCTGCACTGTCTGGTTTTAAAGACCTTCCGCCAATCACCACCCCCTCACTGAAACTTTTCTCCCACTGCTTCTGGGTGCTCATTGTCTATTTCCAGTCAGTGCCATCACCCCGCTCCCTCCTGCCTCCACACCTTCGCCCATGCTGCGTCCCTTGCCTGGAGGTCCCTCCCTGCCCCATCTTTAATGACTCTTCTTCCTCATCACCTGGAGGGGGACTGGGAAATCTAGAACCTTCATCCTGGACTTGCAAAGCGATTAAGACTTTGCTCCCTATTTTCTGCGGACACTGCACATCCGCATCTCCTGTGATTTCGTTATTCCCCTGGAAGGGATCTGGCAGCAAATAACCGATCACGACCCAATCTTCCCCGCTTTGTAAGCCCTTTCATAGAAAGGTATTCCCAAATTGGACTCAAATCAGGACCACGGGTCGGGCCGTAGCATTTAGACAACGTGGTTGCCAGAATAAGGGCGTTTCCTCAACCCTCTGCAGGCCTGGTTGAGGCTCTCCTCTCCTGGGAGCACAGAGGACGGGGTTTTCTCTGGGAGCCGGGAGCACTCACCGATGTAATCGTTGGACTTGCCGATGTCATAGTCCCAGACCGAGATGTCCAGTGACTTCTTCGCCAGGTCGCTATGTTTGATGTCATAGAAAAACTCCTGGATGCAGCAGAGGAAGACGTGTGAGTGAGAGGGGCCTCTGAGCCTTGGCATCAGGAGCTAAGATGCTAAGTCCTGGGGCTCATGGACCTAGGGGAGGCCTTTGAACTGGGCAGCCGGGAGCAAGGGGGCCTTCCCGCTCTGAGCCTTTCCCCCCAGGCCAACAATCCTCTTTCAACAAACACTCTATATAACAAAGTCCCTCAACCCTGTAATTCTCTTTTCAGTGACTCTGCCTGAAATTGGGAAGGCTGGTGGGGTTTTTCTAAGAGCTGGTCCTGGTCAATTTCCTTGAAGCAGACAGCCATGAGCTCAGTCTTTCCATTCTGGTAGCTTCTGCAGTGGGCTTTCCCCTCTCCATCATTTAGAGATTAAAGGTAGTTGAGGCAGCTGAGACTGACACAAGGGGTCGCTGCTTATATTTCCCAACAATCTGATTTTTTAAAATAACTTCTCTGCCTAATTATAAAAATCATTCGTGTTCATTGTTAAAACAAACAAGGAAGAAAAAAGAACCCCAAAAAACTTGCAATCTAACTACCCAAGAATAACCACTGTCAACATTCCCAGGCGTGACCACATCAATGTACGTTTTTAAAAATTGATATGAATATTTTTGATTATATGAAATATAATATGAATATACTGTATTTTGGCCTTCTTTTTCCATTTTACACATAAGGTAAAAACCAACTTGGCATGTTAGCAAGCATCATCATTCCGATGGCTTCATTTAATAACCGTGTGGCTATCTCAGAGCCTAATGCCCAACAGATGAGTATCTAGCTTGTTTCCAATGTTTTACTGCCATAAATGATATGATAAAAGGCACCCTTGTGGCTAAGTCATTGCGTCCATCCACGATGATTTATTTAGGATAAATTCCAAGAAGTGTTTTCCTGAGTTTGCAAAATTTTCAGGTGGAGAACAGTGGGTACATACTTTGATGCTATTTGTGTACAATAAGAAAGCCGGCCACACACATATTTGCTTTGTGTGTATTTATATAAATCCTGGAAATGGATAATATTGTGCTTCAGAAGCAAAGAAGTGGGTGCTGGAGGCTGGCAAAGGAGGGGATGTTAAGTGGATATCCTTTGGCGCATTTGGAATTTTTCAAATATGTGACTATATTACCTGTTGCCGAAATAAATGGAATTTAAATTTAAAAATTTTAAGGTTTTGAAGTGTTTTGACAAACTTCCCTTCAGAAGCTGGACCAGCTTGCTTCCTCACCCACAGTGTGTGCATTTCCCCACATGCTCAAAAACCTGGGGACCAACAGATTACAATATTTGTGCGCCAGACTGCTCTGAGATACGGTATCTGGTCTCAGTTCTTATTTTCTCCATTGCTAATGAGTTTCTTGGCTATGTGGAGTTCTGCTTTTGTGATGTGTTCCGACTCTAGGAGAGGGGAGGGCAGGACAGCAGGAAGTGGCTTCTTACTCAAATTCTTGAGTCAGAGTTAGGAAAGCAGGGGTCCAGCTGAGAGATGGAGCTGGGAATCCGAGGGCTGCGCTGACCAGCCAGCGATTGCCAGCCAGCGACTGCTCTGGGCTCTGTTGACATAGTACCTTCCCCGCCTACGCACACGTGGGCGGATGTTGTTAAGAAATGAAACAACACCAACACACTGTATTGTAGCTTCCCTTTCTCACTTTGTAACATTTGCTGAAAACCAGTACTAGCTGGCTCTGACCCAACACAGATCTCTAAGGGCGGGACCAAGAAGGGAGAATTCAGCGCTGGAATAGCGCCCAGGGCTGCTCCAGGGCAGGGCATGGAGATTAAAACACGGAAGCATGTCTGCCCTGGAGGTGGAGTGAGGCTGAGGGATGGGGTCCGGGCCAGGACTGGTGTCTTTCACGGTGCCTGTGTGCATTTCTTCTTTCTCTTTATTTTGGGATATTTGAGAAGGGAACCACGTATACGGGTTAGCTTAGAACTCATCTGTTTTTCCACACTTTCCTTTATTCGACCCTCTCTTAGTTCAACAGATATTTCTGGACCCCTAGTCTCTGACACGCTTGTCAACAGATAATTGGAATCCAGAGGGACCGCACAGGACGGAGGGACGCATAAAGCCTGGATGCACAGAGGAAGCGTATCGGCAGGGGTCAGCACCCACACGGAGTCTTGAGGGTTGGCTAGGAGTTTGCTAGAGAGGAAAAGAGAGAGAGAGAAGCCTAGGAAAAAGGAGGAGCAGATGCAGAGGCTGAGAGGTGTGCCAAGGACCTGCACTGAGTTTAGTGTGACTTGAGAAAGGGGTGTGTGTGACATGGGGCGGGGTGGGAGGTGAGTTTGAAAGGGCTTGATTGTCACAAAGTTAGGGAGCCATTGTTGGATTAAGCAAAGGGGTGACAAGTGCAGATGCATGATTTAGAAAGCTCCTGCTTCTGTAGAGGATGGATCAAGCACAGGGAAGTGACTCAGGAGTTTACTGCAATAGTCCAGGCGTGAAATGCCAGGATCCGAGCTAAAGCAGTAACAGTGAGAACACAGAGGAAGGGGCACATTCAGTGGGTATGTAGACAGTGTTAGCAGGACCTGATGCACTGGATAGACAAGGGGAGTAAAGAGAAGGACAGGACAGCACTGAGTAGGGGTATGGTAAAGGGCACCACTGCCTTTATTTATTTTCTCAAATTCCAGTATTATAGACTACTAGAATTGGTAAAGATATTGGAGATGATTTAATTCCATCCCTCCCCAGAAGCAGCTTCCTCCTTATGACATTCTTAATCTGTTGGCTTTTGTCTTAGACTTGATTCCCTCTGGTGACAAGGAACTCATTACCTCTCCTTTAGATAATTCAAGGTGATCTATGAGAAAAAGTTCTTTTTGATGTGCTTTATAACATTCTAGTAGGGAGTTTGTTCCTCTCTCACATACAGGAAATACCCCAAAGTATGACAAAAATGGATCAGCCTTACCTCGTTAAATTCAGGATTCAAGGTTTTCTTCTTAATTTGAGTCTTGTGTTTGGCCTTCTTTCCCATGTCTGGTTTCAGCCAGCTGAGAGGAGACACAAGTGGCTTCTATGGATGGGGTTTAATGAGTAAGAACAGCCCCTTGATGACCCCAAAGGCTCCTTCCAAACAAGTTGGAAAGCGAATCAACATCATAATGACCAGTGTGCATCAGAGCATCCACTTGATGCCAGGTGCCGCACTAAGCACCCAAGGTGTACTTAATCCTCAACAAACCCTAGACGGTAGAACCACCACCCATTTTACATACAAGGACTGAGGGTCCAGAGAAGTTGAGACACATGCCTAAAGTCACACAGCTGGGACTGAACCCAGCTGTTGCCTCTGGAGTCTGTGCTCTTAGCCGGTGCTTTCTCACAATGGATCAAACTGAGAGCCTGGATGGTGGAGCCTGGCACTTCACCACCCATCACCCCTTAGGCTGCCCCCAACTCCTGGGGAGATGCCACGAGTGCAGACAAAAAGGAGAAGATGCAAATCTGATTACTGTCTCTCCTCTGGTGAAAATTATCCAGTGGCTTCCCTTTGACCTCAGGGTAAAATTCAAAATCCTTGATGTGGCCTCTAGAGCATGTTGGTTGGGTCCCTGCCCCAGCCTAGCCAAATCCTGTGTCATGCTCTTCACCCCGCTCCCTACTCACTCTACTTTCAACCCCTGGGCCTTTGCACAATGCCTGGCACATAGTAGGTACTCAATCAATATCTTCTGGGCAAATAAATAAAGTGGGCTAAAAACTCCTAAGAGCTGGGACACTTGACTTCTGATTCAAGCTGTCACCTGCTATGCAACTTTGAACCTGAGCATGAAACTGACGGACAAGCTGCTGGGCTTGTCTACAGTCTCGTCTTGGAGCATTTCCAGACTGAATCTGGAAAAAGCCAGACTGCCTCTTTCGTGGTGGCTCTGGACAGCTGGAGGGGTGTGTCGCTGATTCCAAATGGCTACAGATGGGGCTACTGCAACTTGCTGACCGCCCCTCTCCCACAGGAGGGACAGAGCCACAAAACTGCTCCTATGGGCGAGTGACACACCAGCCTGACTGTGCCCCATTCTCACCGTCTAGCCAGTCCTGGGCATCCATCTCACTGTGTGACCTTGGGCAGGTTCCTTTGTTTCTCTGGGCCTCAGTGTACAATGATCTTAGGGAAGTTCTCTGGTTGTCCCTTTGCAAGGGTCTAGGACCCTCTCTGGGGCCTGTTCATGGTCCCAAGGCATTGACTTACAGCTTGACGAATGGATCTGAGTAGCCATTGGCGTCCATGGCAGCCAGGTGCACACAGCGTATGATGCCCACGATGAGGCCTCCCTGCTGTGTGCTGTACATAAGGGACACCAGGATCTTGCCGCGTTCCTCTATGTCACCAATACGCTCCACCTGCTGCAGTAGAAGAGGGTGTGTGGGCCTAGGAAGGGGCGGGGACTCGGCAATGCGGATGGCTGGCACTGGGGAAGAGCCCGTGTGAGGTAGGAGGAGCTGGGCCAGCGCAGGCGCAACCAGAACCACGGACAGCAGCCTCCAGGGAGGAGCAGACGGTGGAAGCCAAGGGGACCGGCCCCAGGCACATGGGACCAGTGGCTTCACCTGACTTAGACGTGGACTGACTGGCTCTGATCACAGGTTGAGCTTGACCCTGGTTTCAGCCCAACTCTGAGTTCAGACTCCTGTGACCCAACCAGTCCTCTCAGAAGTGGGGTCGGACGAGGGACCCGGGCTGAGGGCGTGGATGTGTAGCCCAACCCCAGCCTCTGCCAGACACACAGCTCAAAGAGCCTGCCCTGCATCCCCCACAGAGGGAGTGTGGCCTTGCCCTGTTCCTGCAGAGCTGCCCGCAGAGCATCTGCAAACAAGGCCGAGAAACTCAAGGGTGTGTCCCGGGAGTGAGAGCGTGGGGCTTCCCCCACCCTGGGGTCTCCAGGTGTGAAGAGCACCCACCTGGTCTCATGTTCTAGGGCCTGGGGCAAGGGCATCTCTCGTGGTGAACCAACAGGAAGGTGGTTTAAGGAGAAAGAGTGGGGAAGGGGCCGGGGAGGGAGAGAAAAGGGAGATGGGCAGACCCCGCCTGTGGCTTCAGCACCCTCAGTGCTCACCTCCTCCTCATAAAGGGCCATTCCTCGGGCTGCCCCGGTGGTCCCGGCACGCTTCATCTTAAAGGAGACAGAAAGGGAAGAGAACATTGTCTATGGGGCTCACCTCCCGACACAAGAAGGACCAGAAACCCTGCACGCCTCCATCAGCATCCAGAGCCATGAGGGTGGGTTCTCCAAGCTACTGAGGCTAGCTTTCTCCCTTTCAGTGAAAATTTATATAACGCTAACCATTTGACAGACACTAACGCACAATAGCCTATGATGTATGCTGTATTACTATCTCTGTTTTACAGATGACGACACTGAGGGTCTGAGTGGTTAAGCCACTTGCCCAAGGTCACACAGCCAATAAGTTGCAAAGCATCCCCTACATAAAGCAGATAGGATTTCACCCACTCTGGTTGAAGTGATGCAGGGGTCTTGGGGTTTGGCCCACCAGCTGCTTTCCCCCCACCCCAATTATTTATTGATCCTGGTGTCCCTCACGTACAAGGTCCTTCTGTGGGACTCTAAGGCTCTGGGGGGACACAATGTGAAAACCACTGGTTAAATCCAGCCTCCCCACTTCAGAGATGAGGAAAACTGAGGTCCGGGGGGGAGGGGAGAGCTCTCACAAGACCCCTGACCTTGGCCGGGCATGTGGGAGGAATCGGTGGTAGGAGGGTTAAAGGCAAAGAGCACAAGAAGATGACGAGCAGAGTTCTGCGGCCGCTGCCTGTCTGGCCATCTCCGTGCCTCTGGTGCTGGCTGCGTCCATCACAGCGAGAGGGGCAGACCGAGGAGCTGATGCTCCAGGGCAGGGCCTGGCCACTTCCTGACCAACCGGACTCTCTGAGTGAGGGAAGGAAGAAGGAGCCCGAGGAACCAGCTGCGGCAAAGACGCAGAGGAAACGCTTCCCTCCTAGGGTGTCTGCAATGATTTATTTGGAGCCTGGCATTCGGGGTAAATTCCTCCCTGCAGTTTTCCTTATGTGTCTCGTTCCTTCGCCTGTGCTATAAAAATATGGCGTGGCACACAGATAGTCCCTCCCCGGGCCGGCCATCTGCTGGGGGGACGCTGCAGGATTTCCCCTCCCACTCCCCGTGGCTTCCCCATGGGGAGCTGGCCCGATGCCTGGGGGGAGCAGGCGCACTGGTGGCTGCAGCAGAGCTGGGTTCTGGCTGGCGCCCAAGAGCATAGCCACGGACTTGGGGTGATCCTGGCGACCTGCTCCCCTCTCTGGGCCCAAGGTGGCGCATATGTAAAAAAGGGCAACTTAGATTCTCTCTCAAATTGCGGAAGGCTGGTGCCCACCTACGTCAACAATTTCAAGGAGAAATCTCCACAAATCGGAGTGTGGAAAGCTCTGATTTTAAAATCTCCAGTTGATTCTGAGGTGTAGGCCAATTGGAGAACCTCGATTTGGTCCTCGTTCTTTCTCAGAAGGCGAGTACCGCATCTAACAAGAACACTTCTAATGCTTTATATGCACTCACATTTAATCCTTAAAAGACCCCATCAGATCGGCACTACATTATCCCATTTTACAGATGAGAAAACAGAGGCCCAGAGAGGTTAAGTAATTTGCCTCAGGCTATACTGTATGTGGCAGAGCCAGGATTCAAACCCAGGGAGTCTGGCACCAGAGCCCATGCTCTTAAGCACCACGCCATCCTGCCTCCTGTTCATCTGCGTGGGGCTCTGTGACCTCATGACTGACAGGTGGGTAAGGCAGTATTCTTTCCCAGGAGAACAACGGTTAATTTTTGAGTGCTTATTATGGACTAGGTTCTGTGCTGATTATGTCTTGCACACAACCCTCCTATGAGGTGGGTACTATTATAACACCCATTTTACAGACAAGCAAAACTGAGGCTCAGAATGGTTCAGTCCCTTGGCCAAGGCCAGGGAGCAGGGAAGTGGCCGAGCTGGACTCTGAACCCAGGCAGGCCACCCTGCCACACCACACTGCCTTTCCCAGTTTTACCAAAGAGGACCCTACATTCAGAGAAGTGATGCCAACACAGGGTTGGGAAGGGAAGGGCAGAGCCAGGATGCAGCCCCGATGTTCTGACCCAAAATCTCCACCCTCCCCTCGACAGCTACCGTCGTCCCTCTGCTGCTGCACCCTCCAGACCTATCTCCCCTTTGCAGGCCCAGAGAAGGCAGCACCTCCCAAACTCCTCTCCCGCCACGGAGCCCTCGGGGCAAAGCCATTCACCGGGATCACTCGCTCCAGACAGATGTTGAAATTCTTCCTCTGGTTGGGCTTCAGTTTCTTGAGTGAGAATCTGGTCTCACCAATAAACTCATTATGGCCAAATTTGTCCTCATCACAAACAGAGATCCTGTGGTCAACATAACAGATGGAGAGAGAAAGAAGAGCATTTATTGAGCTTCTACCATGTACAGAGAGCTGTGATTGATGCTGGCAAGGAATGTGGAATGTGAATAGGAGTATTTCAGTTTCCTATTATTGAGTACTGGCCAGGTACTTTTTATTTCCTCCTTGTTGAGGGATAATTTAGAAGCAGTAAGGTGCACAAATCTCAAGTTTATAGCCACTTGAATTTTTGCAAATGCATATACCCATGTAATCACAACCCGTCAAGATATAGAACATTCCAGAGTCCAGAAGACCCTCATGACCCCTCCTAGTCAATACCTCCCTCAAAGATAACCACTATCTTTGACCTCTGACCCCATGGATCCATTGTCCTGTTTTTGACCTTCACATAAATGGAACTGGATGGTATATACTCTTTTACGTTTGGCTTATTTTCCTCAACATTATGTCTGTGAGACTCATCCACGTCTACAGTAAATTGTCCTTTTCACTGCTGTATAGTATTCCATTGCATCAATAGACCATAATTATGCTACTGATGGGCATTTGGTTTTGACCTATTCCGAGTTTAGGGTTATTATAAATAAAGCTGCTATGGAACATTGATGTTCGCATCTTTTCTTATCCTCGTGCACATATTTCTACTGGGGATCTTCCCTGGAGTAGGATGTTGACTCACGGACTGTGCATAAGGTCAGCTTCAGTAGAAACTCCTAAATGTTTTTCCAAAGTGGTTCTGCAGGTTATACTCACACCAGCGGTTTACGCAAGTTCCGATTGCTCTTCATTCTCCCTAAATTTGATTTAGCCAGCCTTTAATCTTAGCCTTTCTGAGTGGCAATAGTATGTCCTTGAAGTGTTAATTTCCATTTCCCTGATGATTAGTGGAGTCTCCTTTTTATAAACTTTATGGCCATTTGAGCATCATCTTTTGCAAAATTGGTCTAGGAACTTAGCTGACTTCTTCTCAATTAATTTTTCTTCCCCTAAAACATCTGAGTTTCCCACTTTATTTTTTTCAGATTGGCGCCAGAGCTAACATCTGTTGCCAATATTTCTTTATTTTTTTTCTTCTCCCCAAAGCCCCCCAGTACATAGTGTATATTCTAGTTGTGGGTCCCTCTAGTTGTGCTATGTGGGGTGCCACGTCAGCATGGCCTGATGAGCGGCGCCATGTCCGTGCCCAGGATCCGAACTGGTGAAACCCTGGGCTGCCACAGCACAGCGCACGGACTTAACCACTCAGCCCTGGGGTCGGCCCCTGAGTTTCCCACTTTAGAGAGGAGGCTGGGGCCCAGAGAGGTTGAATAATTTTTCCCCAGTAAGAGGCAGAATAAGGATTTGAGTCCGGGTGTCCTTGAATCCTAAAACACCGTATTGTCCTTCGTTACTGACTCTGCAGAGCACTGAGTAGACCAGAGGCAGACAGGGCAGGTCCCAAGAAAGGTCCCTCAGGAGGCCAGAAGGACCGGTCAAGGCACGACTGACCCTGACATATGCAAAGGGGAAGAAAGGACTTGTCCCCCCAAGGCATGGGAGGCCGTCTGGGGGACTAATGGCACCTCACTCCTCAGCCATCAACATTTGTTGAACAATGGTGAAAGTTCCAGAAGGGCCAGAACACCCTTGGGGCTGAGCCCACCCTGCAGAGACTGGAGAAAGAAGTTGTCTGCACCCCACAGATGGGGGTGGAACCCACGCCGTCCTTCTGCAGGGCAAAGTGTCTCCAATGATTTAAGGATCATCACTGGTTTTGATATGGTAGTGATGCTTCTAGGATTAAATCTCAAAGACAGAGAACTTTTTCAAGGGTGGCCCCGGGAGCTGCGCGTGTCTCGGTCTGCCTGACATCAGTCCCCGCCCTGCCCAGCTGCCCCATAGTTACCTAAGGGTCTTCCTCTGCATGTCCTCGTCCGTGATGCCATGATAGACGAGAGTCTCATTCCAGACGGGGTTCCGGGTGTTCCGCAGGGTTTTCGTACGAAGCTTGTTGGACTACAGCCAGAGAGACAGACGGACAGACACCCGCCTCGGTGGGGAGCCAGCCCTGCAGCCCCGTCTTTTGGGCTGATTTGGGGTAGATGGGTAAATTAGGGGTCCACTCCCCTCAGAAGTGTCCAGGGCTGAGTTTCTCCCAAATGCATGGTCTCAACAAGTGGGGGACACCCTCTAGAGTGACAGCTACTGCCATCACCAATGCAGGACACTGGGTCACCCCTCCCTCCACGCACTGGGCTCTCTCTCTGAACTTTCCACTAAGATTAGAAAGCAGAGCCATCTTCCTTTGAGAACAAGAATATCATTTACAGGCCAGGAAGGCAGAAATAAGAGCACCCACTCCTGGGCAGTGAAGGGACAATTTCTGGGGGTGTTGGGATGGTTCCTTCTGTTTCCCCAAATAGCATCCTCCATGCCTGAAATTCCTTAGAGGGGACCAAGTTTTTCATTTTACTCTAAGAGAGAATGCTAGAAATGCACTAGACTCAGAAGAGGTGGCCTGGTGACAAATCTAATTCATACTAACATGTAAATGACTCATTGGACTCTTTGACAAAGCAAGTTTGCATTTAGAGGGGAGCAAAGCAGAGAGTCTCAAGGAGAAGCAGATGGCATTGGGGATTTAGAAGGAGCCATGGGCAAGCCCTTCAGTTTAGCCATGACCAGGCGAGGGCCTGTCTTCCCTCGATCCAAAGAAAGAAAGAAAGTGTGCATGCGCATGCACACACGTGTGTCCTCCTTCAGGGGGCACTTGATACTTGTAGAGATTTTTAACGGTGTTTTCCCGAGCTCATGGAACCAAGTGTGTGGTCACCCTTGTTTCTAAGACATTCACGTCCAGTTAACACAACGCAAAAAATAAAACCCAAAAAGGCACTTCCCTTCCCAGCCGTGTGCTCTGAGTGGGTCAATCCAGAGAGGAGAGTGAACCCCACTTCCCCTCGTCCCCCTGCCCCCGACCCCAGTGGTGATCTGCAGGCCAGCAGGAAGCAGAGGGAAAGGAGGGCGGGACGTGGGAACATTCTCTCTCAGTGACAGAACTTATCTCCAGCGCTCAGCCCTAAAGCCTGGAGAGAGCCCTTCGTTTCTACTGAGACACGAGGAGTGTCTGGTTGGGACGTAAACGGGGGGGAGGAGGACCGTGGTCAGCCCTGGGGAGCCACTGAGGGTATTTGAGCAGGTGGAGGGTGCAATTAGGGCGATTGCCTCCCTCCTGCCTTTGGCAGCAGCCCAGATGTCAGGTTTCTGGGTTGGAGAAAGGAGCAGAGCCCCGGCCGCTTGACGGAGAACCACTCCTGGCCCAACCCGCACTCCACCTCCGCTCAGGGAGGAGGGGCTTGGGGGCAGATAGGGCTATTTTAGGCTCCGAGCTGGCAACCTTGCCGAGAGGCTATCCAGGCCATATGGTACCTTGCTGGCTCCCGGGAGGAGGTGCAGCTTGACATAGGGATCGGCCAAGCCGTTGGAATCCATAGGCTTCAGTCCCTGCAAGAGAAAAGGCAATGGCATGAGGGCCCCGGGAGGGCCAGGTGCTCAGCTGTCACAGGCAAAGGGGCACAGTCCCTGGCACCTGTCCTGCTCATTGGGACACCCTGTGTGCTTCCTCCTCCAAAGAGAAGGGAAATGCAGTATTGTGCATCAGGCAGACAGGGTTTAAAGCCTGGCCATGTCACTTCCTGGCTGTGTGACCTTAGGTAAGTTTCTTCACCTCTCTGAGCCTCATGTTCCTCACCTGTCAAACGGGATGAGAACAGTACCCGCTTCGAGGAGTGGTGAGACTGAAACATGATTTCGCCTGTTAAGTGCGTGGCACAGTGCCTGGCTCAGAGCGAGCGCTCCATCAAGGTTGGACTGTCATTGCCGGGGTGGGAGGAGCTGCGTCAGAATAGGAAGGGTGGGAGAGGATGGGAGCCAAGGGAAAGGAGGCCTCACTCTGAGACCTCAGCGTCTCCATCCGTGTGATGGGGATCAGTCAGTTCCCGGCCCCTCAGATGGCTGAGATGAGCTCAAATGGACCCCGTAGGGGAGGGGAGTTTGTCCGGGGTGGGAGCTAAGTGGGGCTTGTTAACAGGAGCAACTCCAGAATTCCCGAGGCTCAGATACACCCTGCCCACCCCCTACGCCCCGGGCGAGGAAGGGGTCCCGCCTTGGGCTCCCACTGTCCCCTCTCACAGCGCTAATCCCGGATCCCACATGTTGTGTCCTGTGGCCGCTGGGGGCCTCAGTTTCCTCATCTGTTCAATGGGGCCCATGCAGCCCTGCTTCTTGGGGTTCTCGGAGGATTAAGCGAGATCGCAGCTGTGAAGGCTGAGCTCTGACCTGGCACAAGGAGAGTGAACGATGTTTCTACCGCTGGGCGGAAGAGGAGCCACAAGATGGGGGCAAAGGAGGGAGCTGGCAGAGGAGGCTAGTGGGTAAGGGCACAGGCTTTTGAGCTGGACTATATGGGTTCAAGTCCCAGCTGCACCACTTCCTCGATGTGTGGTGCAGTCACTCAATGGCTCCGTGCCTCAGTTTCCCCATGTGTAAAATGGGAACGATGATAGAACCTTCCTCATAGGTTTTTGTGAAGATTAAATGGGACAAAATAGTCTGTAGAAAGTTCTAGAGGGTGTATAACAGTCAGGAAATGCTCCGGTCCCCAATTTCCCCAATGACAGTCCACGTGGGCAGGGCCTGCTCTGGCTCACGCTGCATCCCAGGGTCTGGGGTGGGGCCTTGGACGGACCAGGCATTGATAGATGGTTCTGGAATGAACGTTTGGATTGTGAGGTTGCCAATGGGCGGACACCGCGTCTTTACACATTTTGAATGTCCCTGGGCGGGGACCGCTCGCTTGGTTTATCAGTTACTAGGACTCCCTAATGTCTCTCACCCAGCCCACTTTTCTGTCTCTGTTACCAGCCCCACCCGCGAGCACTGAGCTTTCCGTACCCTGTCCCCGGGGGCTAATGGGGTCCTTTCCCCTGTTCCTGGAGCTGGAGGAGGAGACCGTGTGAAGGAGTGGTTAGCGCGCAGAGCGAGACTGTTCCACTGGACGCAGACCCAGCTCTCGCTCTCTGAGCCTCAGCTTTCCCTTCTGTACAGCGGAGCTAACAGTGACCCCGACCTCAGAGGGTCCCGTGAAGACGGCACAGGACAGCGTGTGGCCCACTCCCTGTGTTCTAGGGGGGCGGGAAATGCGTCTAAGCGCTTGCCACAGTGATACACACACACAGCAGGTGCACAATAAATGCTCACTGAAGAAGTGACGGGGCCAGGAGGTGTCTTGATCTGGGAGTTGTGTTACACATTTTACGCCTCATTTATCATCCAAACGGGGACATTTTATGAGTGGCAGGGGGAGCTCTTAATTATTCCAGCAAGGCAACAGGCACGGCTGGGGACTGTCCTGGGCAAGCTGGCACCTGGGGCCACCTCACTTTTAATACAGTCATCCTTGTGGGAGAGGCACTCTTATTATCCTCAGTTTACAAATGGGCACACTGAGGCACAGAGAGGTGAAGCAGCTTCCCCCAGGTCACACAGCTGGGAGCAGCGGAGCTGGTCTTTGAACCCAGGAAGTCTGGTTCCTGAGTCTTGGATGTTCTTCTACACGGACCAGACTTGGGGTGTGGGGACTCCTAGTCCGTTACTTCCTGGGATTGCGCTGGCATCATCCAGCTTTCCTGGGGGTCTGCAGTTGAGCTGGCTCAGTCCCCCGGAGGCTGCAGTGTGGAGACGCCCTTCCACCCGGGTGTGCCTTTCCCGCCCCTCGGACGCCCACGTTAGTGTCCCTGTGTCTGCAACAACAGGCCGCACTCTGGCTCCACAGCCACATCAGCAGAAGGAGCCTTTCGGAGGGCATGTCGCTGTCAGTCAGGCTGTCACTGCCTCCCGGCGGCACCTCTGTGGTCCCCTCCAGAGGCCGTGGACGGGGCTGGGCAGATCCCGGCTCTTGAAGCTGGCTGTCTCCACTCTCGGGAGGCAGCTGCAGTTAAGTGAAACCCCTGTGGGACCATCCCCCGAGGAAGTCCCCCCACAAAGGAATCAGCCGTGGCTAATTTTTTTTTTGAGGAAGATTAGCCCTGAGTTAACTTCTGCCAATCCTCCTCTTTCTTGCTGAGGAAGACTGGCGCTGAGCTAACATCCGTGCCCATCTTCCTCTACTTTATACGTGGGACACCTACCACAGCATGGCTTGCCAAGCAGTGCCATGTCTGCACCCGGGATCTGAACCAGCGAACCCCGGGCCGCCGAAGCAGAACATGCGCACTTAACCGCTGCACCCCTGGGCTGGCCCCCCGTGGCTAATTTTTGCCCTCTTCTCATCGCTGTCACTGTCACAGATGGATAAAGCAACAGACGGGAGCTAGGCCTAGTCCCCCATGCCCTCCCTGAGTCCCTTAGTCATGCCAGAGAGCCTGAGTGGTCCCCAGCTCGGCCCCCTCACCCACCTTGGCCTTTATGATGGTGCAGTGCAGGGAGCTGTTGTCCTGGTCATAGAGAAGGCTGAACTCCAGGGCACCCAGGGTGGCTGAAGGAACCAAGAGAACATTCATTCAGTCATTCAACAAACATTTCCCGAACACTTACTGTGTGTGTCTGGGCTAGGCGTTGAGCCTACGGAGGAGAAGAGACTCAGTCCCTGCCTTGGACACCTCCTCCTGGTAGACGCTCCTCTTCTTTGGAGCCCTCAGCACATCTGCCATCAGTTAATCATTTGTGCAGTTGCCTAGCTAATGACTTCCCATCCTGCCGGATTGAGGGTCCCACCAGGGCAAGGGCAGTGACTGTCTTATTCACTGCTGTGAACCACTGGGCACAGGGCCGGGAACAGAGTCGGTATTTGCAGAAGGAATAAATGAGTCTTTGCATTTGCTGCCTGGAATGCTCTCCTTCTCGATCCTCACGTGGCTGACACCTTCTCATTATCTATGTCTCAGCTTAAAGGTCACCTCCTCAGAGAAGCCACCCTGATTGCTCCATCTAAAGCAGCCACCACCACGGTCAATCGCCCTATTTCACCTCCTTCGCGGTGCTCTATCTCTATTTGGAATGAACTCGTTGGCATGTTTCCTGTTTCTCTCCACCAGAATGCTGGTTCCATTAGATCAGCCACCCGGTGTGTCATTTTTCTGCCGTGGGATCCCCAGCCCGAAGACTAGTTTGGGCGCCTAGTAGACGCTCAGTAAATCCTTGTCAACTATAGAGATGAGTGAGTGAGTGAGGAGTAGAGAGTTGAACACGGAGACGGCTTGTGATAAAGCACCGGGGATGGCTCATCACAGGGACAGACATGGGCCGGGGGGGTCATCCAGGCTTGGCAGGTCAGCAAAGACACTTAAGGCAGATGGAAGGAGCCGTGGGTGCTGTTCCGGGTGGAAGGACCAGGATGCAGAAAGGCAGGACAGAGATGGTGCATTTCCAGAGCAGAAACAGCCCATGGCTGATGGCGGGGAGGACCCCCTAGGCTCCTCTCCCCGAGACTGCAGGCCCGGGACCCGTGAGGAGCACAGAGGACAGAGCGGACAGCTGCTCTCACCCAGGTCTGGCCTCTGATCTGCTACAGCCCCTCCACTCACCGGCCGTGCGAGCCTGGACAAGTCCCTGCGCCTCTTGGCGCCCCGCCTCCCTCTCTGTGACACCTGAACGCTAAAAGCAGTGAGCCCAGGCCCCCTGGGACGAATAAATGATCGCATGCACACGACACACTCAGAAAGGCACCCGGCACAAAATAAGTGCTCAACAAGCCCTGACTATTACGACTTCTGTTGTGCGCACCACATCTTCATAATTCCGCAGGCGTGTTTAGCACCATAGAGTAAGACAGATTTCCACAATTAATTATGACACGCTTTACAGTGGTACCTCAATTCACCCTCCCCTCAGCCCTGCGTGAGAGGCCGGACTCGCTTCCCATTTTACAACGAGGAGAGGTGACAGGACGGGCCAAACTCATGCCACTGTTTACAGCCCCTGGTTCATGTCTTCTGAGCGGGTCCAGTCTTTCTGCCTGACCAGGAGCTCCCGGAACGTCCCCCCAACCCCACAACACACGTCGGGTCCAGACACTTGCCCATCCCTGCTCCCTCCAGCTCATGAAGCCCCCCGAGCTGTCCCCTGCTGCCCCCAGCCACACCCAGGAGAAGAGCCACTGCTGTGTGTGTGTGCGTGCACGTGCGCGTGTGCGTCCCTAGGACTCGGGGTCCCAGGGGAGGGGCACGAGCGGGCACTTTGTAAATCATTGAATTGATGGACACAAGAGGAAATGTCCAGGAATTTTTAAATCACGGTTAAAAAAATTACTTTCAGAAGATACATGTTAAAGAGTTTTGGAAATTATTAAAACACACATGTGTATCCCTGAGAGTGGAATTGCTGGGTCATACGATAATTCCGTTTGACTTGTTGAGGAACCTCCAGAATGCACATGACGAATGTAGTTTTATCCTCTTTAAAATGATTTAAATGGTAGCTCTGATGTTTTGTGTATTTTACCACAATAAAAAAATATATACAGCACCTCATCTTCAGAGAGCTGATGTCCTTTGTGAATTTAGTAACACAGACTTGTATTTGAATAATTGGCTAATACATAGATAAGGTTTGGCATGTTGGGAGCCCTGGGGTGTACTGGTCTATCCCCGAGCCACTCCTGATTCCCCGAGGTGGCTTTTCCCAGACACCCCTCCGTGAAGCGCCACCTACTTGCTTCATCCGAATCGTAGCTGTCGGCTTCTTCCTCCTCCTCCTCCGGGGCTGGGGGCTGGCGGGCAGGGGATGCGGTGGGCTGGACGACAGCGGCAGATGCTTGGGAATAGGTGCCCGGTGGGTGGCCTGTCCGGTCCTCCCTGGTTGCAACTGCAGGGTAGCCGCCAGCTGCCGCCGTCCTCTCCTCCCGGGGTGGGGCAGGGGCCCCGGGATAGCCGGGGTCGCTCGGAGCCACCTCTGCAGGGGAGACGGGGAGAGGGCAGGAAAGCAGCAGCTGAGTCCCTGTGTCCTACTGCTACAGCACTACCCGAGTGATGAGAGCCTACTGTGTGCCAGGCTCCCATCGAGCCTTGCCCACAGCCCTGCAATGGAGGAGCGCCACTCCCAGGCGATGGGGGGGAACACGGCATGCCCTCACTCTTCTCAGAATGTTGCCCTTGTCAAAGCCACCTAGGGAAGCTGGCAAAAATGCAGGTTCCTGGGGCTCCCCCCAGAACCAGTAGGCCGTGTGGTGGGGCCTTGGAATCTGTATTTTATAACAAGTCGCAAGAGCTGATCTGGATGCCAGCAAAACAGACCTCACGGTGGGAAGGATCGGCGGGGCGGGCTCTTCAGCCGGACAGCCTGGGTCTGAGTCACAGCTGTGTGACCTGCGGCAAGTTAACATCTGTGAGCTCAGTTTCCTCGTCTACAAAATGGGAATTCTGACACCTGAACATGCTCAAATACTAGTTCCATTACTTTTAAAATTATCTAATATGTGTATCGCACTTACAACAGTGCCCCGTGTGTCAGAAAGCAACACACAGGTTGCAGCTTGGTGACTGCTGGTGATGGTACATATACATTCTGTGTAATACTCACTGTCACTTAGTGTGGACTGAATACGTTCCAGGCCATGTGCTAAGGTTTTGTACGTATTAGTTTGTTTAATCCTCCCAACAACCCTGAGAGGTAGGTTCTATATTATTCCCATTTTAAAGATAAGGAAACTGAGGTTCAGAGAGTGAAGTGACTGGCCCAGGGTCACACAGCGAGGAAGTGAAGGAGCAGCGTGTGCTCCTAACTACTCTCTGTGTTGTGGTTTTCCAGCTCTCTGGTCTGGTATGGGCTATCCAGAGGTTTGGAATCAGAGGGGCCCCTGAGAGCTCATCACACAGGTCTCAGGGTGCAGACCGGGCGGAGGTCGGGCAGCCCCCCGCTCTGTCATGGGGAAGCAGGGGAGAGGCGGCCACTCAGGCAGGCATGCGGAGAAGTGCACGCTTGCCTGGTCTCTGGTCGGGAAGACGTCCTGCTGGCCCAGGGCTGGGTCTGCTGCCTCCTGGGGGCCCTGAGCGGGGAAGAGAGAGAAAGGAGGATGAAGCAGAGAAGGTGGCAGCATTTGGGGTTCGTCCTCACCCCCCTCCTTTCCTGGGCTTGAACACAGGCCCGGCACAGCAGGTGATGGGCAGAGGCATCTGGGGCTGCAGGAATGGCCCCACTGGGGAATTCTGGGGTCAGAAAGGCCCCAAAGCTTCCTTCCTGGGCCCCGGCTGCCTCCTGTGTGGAATGGGAGTGGTGGCCCCCGTTCCCTGTGTTTCACTGGCTGCCATGATGTTGATGAACAAACAGAGTGAGACTCGCTTGCGAGGTGAGGGCAAGGTTACACTCTGAGTCCACCACTGCTGTAGGGTCATTACCTGTCCAGGGGATTCTCTACATTTCCCGAGGGGCGGGGCGTGGGGGAGAGCCACAGGGATGGGGCACGAACTAACGTCAACGACACAGTGAGACAGTCTCTCCCGTTCCCATTGCCTTTCAACACTGATTCCATCACGGAGAAAGTCTGTTAGCGCTACTTGGTCTGTAACAATTCTTCACTCTTTGTGACTTTCCCTTTTGAACAAAAGAGAACAGGCCTCCGGCTCAGAATCCTCAGGAGGCCAGAGCGCCCAGAAATTCACTGCATTGTTTTATTTCCATTACATTAATTTTTATTATTACTCCTGCAACAGGCTGAATCGTGTTTCCCAAAAGACGTTCAGGTCCTAACCCCCAGCACCTGTAAATGTGACCTTGTTTGGAAAGCGGGTCTTTGCAGATGACCAAGTTAAGCTGAGGTCATTAGGGTGGGCCCTAATTCAATAGGACTATGTCCTTATATGAAAAGGGGAATTGGGACACAGAGAGGGACCTGCGTGGAAGGAAGACGCTGTGAAGACACAGGGAGAATGCCATCCACAAGCCAAGGAGGGCCGGAGGCCCCCAGGAGCTGGGAGGGGCCTGGCGCAGCATCTCCGTCACAGCCTCAGAAGGAGCCCACCCTGCCCTGCTTTGATTTCGGGCTTTCTGCCTCCAGAACCGAGAGACTATACATTTCTGTTATTTTAAGCTGCCCAGTTTGTGGCACGTTGTCACGGCAGCTCCAGCAAACGAATTCACTCTCTCTTTACGGCATGGAATACTGGTTTCCCGTGTATACCACGACTATAGGTTTTTTAAAAAATATCACATTTTTGACTGCACCAATTAGGCACTATCTCTACTGTTTTACACAAGCTGTGTTTGTTTAGATTGTCCCACATTACTCATCTCTTTGCCCCCCCCCCCTTCTTCTGGAACCCCACACACCCTCTGGGAGCATTTGCCTCTTTACTAAAGTCCCACGTCCTTAAAATTTCCCTGATGAGTTTGTGATGGCAACTTGTCTCAGTTATGGTTTGAAAGTGAGTCAATTTGAAGAAAGATATTCAGGAAATAAGAGGGCAGGTGGCAGGAGCGTGTGGTAAAAACTGTGACAGTGCAGTGACGATGTCTGAGCTGGGACACACTGGGGAAGGAAGCGTGGTCACTTCTCGCATTGCCCGCCCCACCCGGCTGCCCAGCCCAGAGGGCTCCCCAGCGTCAGGGCCTCAGGAGAGCTTGGGGTGTGGTGGTGGCTGCAGCTCTGCGGAAACCCCGGGGCTCTACGAGCACAGCCAGGTGGTGTCGGGGTCACAGCTGAGTGACGGCCCGGGCGGGTGGGTGGCAGGTACCTGGCTGCCCAGGCTGAGGGGGCACTGGGCTCTGCGTCGAGGCGGGGGCAGGTCTGGAGGCCTGGACTGAGTTGGCCCGTCTCAAACCTGCAGGGGGAGGGAGAGGAGACAGCCCGTCATGTCGCACACACGCACAGTAGGAGCAGGAAGAAGCAGGGCACCGCTCAGCCGGCAGCAGGCAGGGCCCTCTGGATTTGAACTGAATGCGGCCCCCGATGCTCCCAGCTCTGTGAGACCCTCTTCTCCTCCCCCCGTGCGTTCTCTCTCTCCGATACTCAGACCCTCCAGCAAGTCACAGCCACACGGGTGCTGAAAGCACAGGTTCTGTGATGTTGCTTCCACCTGTGTGACCTTGCACAAATGACCTACCCTCTCTGGGCCTCAGCCTCCTCATCTGTTCAGTGGGGATAATAGTCCCACCCTCACAGGGTGGTGGAGGAGACACAACATACAATACACACCAAGTGCTCAGAACAGCACCTGGTTGCAGTTAACACTCCACTCTGTCAGGTGTTGATACTACGGTACTGTTACTGAGAGCATCTGGGCCCCAGCTGCATGGGGACCCAGCTTTGCATCCCAGCTTTTCTTTTATAAGCTGTGTGACTTTGGACTGGTCATTCACCCTCTCTGAACCTCAGACGCTTCATGGAGGCAACAACTCTACTCACTTGATAATAATGAGTTAACATTTATTTAATCTTACCATGTGCCAGGGCCTTTACATATAAGAATCTATTTAATGTCTACACCCCCAGAGGTGGGCGCTTTATTATCTCCACTTTACAAATGGGGAAACTAGGGTACAGAGGGATGAGGGGCTCACCTACTGGCCCTTGGCTGGTCAGTGGCTGAGGCAGGGTTTGAACTCAGGCATTTGGTGGAGTCGGCCTGAGAGCACTGGGTGCCACCACCTCCTGCAGAGCTGCGAGGGGACTGATGGGATGATGCACCCGGCAGTTCCTGGCACGCAGGTGTGACATTCCTGGAACGAGGCGCCACCTCTCTCATCTCACTGGGCTGGATCCCACCTTTCCTGAATCCAGCCTTTTTCCCTTGAGAGAGGCTTGAATGCCAAGGACAGACAGCGCTTTGCCACCTCTGGCTGGGGGCTTACCAATCCCCAGGTCCCGTCTCAGGGTCCTGCAGTGGCACTACTGTTTGCTCATTTGGGTCCTTGCTCATTCACTCACTTATTCATTCAACAAGTATTCATTGAATGTCTACCAGGTGCCAGTCCCTGTGCAAAGATGGAGAAAACACCACCTTCGTTCCTCCAGGAGCACATGGCCCGTCACCCAGGGACAGTTTAGAGAACAAGAATAGATGACATCCGCTGAGCGCTTCAGACGCATTCGGCCCTGAGCATCAGCTCATGCAACTCTCACAACGTGATGTCGCCTGTGGTAGTACGGTGCCCATTTGGCAGTTGAGGGACTGCAGGTTAAGTGTGCTCAAGGTCACACAGCCAGGAAGCCGTTAGGACCTCCGTCCAGGTCTATCTGACTCCGGAAGCCACGTCCTTAGCGATTATCCTGCTCCAGGAGGTGGACAGAGAGTAGGCGGCACGCGGCCCCACCGTGCGCCAGGCTCTGCTGAGCCCTTTACCAGCATTGGTCGCTTAAACCTTTACAGCAGCCCAAGGAGATAAGAATGCTTACTGCTCTTATTTCCATTTTACACGTAAATGGAAGCCCGGTGTCTTGACCTGTCAAATGGGAACACGCGGCTGGTAAGCGGCAGAGCTTGGATCTGACCCCACAGTCTTTGTTCTGGTGTTTGCGCACTTAGCGTTGGACTGGAATGACCAGGTATGTAAATAAGTAACATCGCAGGGGATGGAGGCAGAAGAGGCGACCTCCAGCCGGGCGATGGGGACAGCTTCGTGTGGAGGTGGCCTTTGTGCTCGTCCCTGAAGATGCACAGAGTTGGGGTGTGCCAACGGGAAAGGGACATTGATGCAGAAAAGACCTCTTAGTGGCATAAAGAAAAGTCAGAACAATTCTGGTTTATGCCGTGGTCCTCATTCCAGGTCGCAGACCTCGGAGAAGGGGGCGCTGGGGGCATCGGGATACCAAGTGGAAAATGCAGAGCTGAGCTGATCCTTGTCAAGGGGCCAGGACTGGAGTGGGAAGCCATCCTTGGCACTCCCTACGGGACTCTGGCTCTACTCTGGCTCCCCACTGAGGGCTGCCGGCGTGACTGATATTCCACGGCAAGGGTGTCTGGACTCCAGCAGATCAGGAAGGGGTGCAATCACGCCTCCTCAGATGGCAGAAGAGGGTGGCAGAGACACGTGTCTTGGAGCACCAGGCCCCTTTGACCAACCTCAGTGCCACCAGGATCTGAATGCCTATTACATGGCCATCTGTGTGCTGAGTGAGTGATATAAAAATATAAGATGGTGGCCCCTCCTCTGCTCAAAATCCTTCTGTGGCTCCCTGGCACCCTCGGGAAAAAGTCCAAACTCATTAATCTGACTTTTCAGGCTCTAAGCAGTGTTCTCAAGCTTCAGCCTTCACTGAGATCAGTCGAGGAGCTTGCTTAAGGAATGTGGAGTCTGGAGCCCTAACCCCAGGGATTCTGACTTACAAGGTCTGGAACGGGGCAGAGGAAGCAAGAGTTTTAACCCGCACTAAGGCACGTGGATCTGCTGCTCCCCTGTCTTCGTGTTCCTGACGTTCGACCAGGAGAGAGATGCAGGCTGCAAGCTGTTGGAGTTACAGTGAGAAATGCAGACTAGGGACATGTGCTGGGACCCTGGGAGCTCAGAGGAGGGAGCGATGAACTCGGCCCAGGGTGGGGCAGGCAGATGCTGGAAGCTTCACAGATGAGAGGAACATTTACACTGACTCCCAAGGGACAGAGGATCCAAACCTGGCTTAGGAATGTCGTGTGGCTGTCATTTCCCTCGGGAGGCAAAAATAATACAGAGTCTAAAAGCACAGGCTTTGCTCTCCAAAAATTAACTCAAAATGGATCAAAGATCTAAATGTAAGAGCTAAAACTAGAAAATGCTTAAAAGAAAATATAGAGGGGAAACTCCATGACGTTGGCTTTGGCATGATATGATATACCAAAAGCACAGAAAACAAGAGAAAAAATAGATAAACTGGACTTGATCAAAATTTAAAATGTCTGTGCATCAAAGGACACAATCAACAGAGTGAAGGGCAACAGAATAGGAGAAAATATTTGGAAATCATATATCTGATGAAGAGTTAATATCCAGAGTATATAAAGAACTCCTGTAACTCAACAAGAAAGAAAATGAACAACCCCATTTCAAAATGGGCCAAGGGCTCGAACAGATATCTCTCCAAAGAAGATATACAAATGGCCAGTCAGCACGTAAAAAGATGCTCAATATCACTAATCGTTCCAGAAATGCAAATCAAAACCACAACGAGACACAGCTTCACGTCCATTAGGATGGTTCTATACAGACAGACAGAAAAAAACAAGTGTTGGTGAAGGTGTGGAGAAACTGGAACCCTTGTGTGTTGCTGGTGAGAATGTGAAAATGGTGAAGCTGATGTGGTAAACAGCATGGTGGTTCCTCAAAAAATTAAGCATAGAATTATGTGATCTAGCTGTTTCACTCCTAGGTATATACCCAAAAGAATTGACAGCAGGAACTCAAGTAGATATTGGTACACCCATGTTCATGGCAGCACTATTCACAATAGCCGAAAGTGGAAAGAGCCCAAATGTCCATCAGTGGATGAATGGATAAACGAAATGTGGGCTATGCCTACAACGGAATGTTATTCAGCCTTAAAAGGAGTAAAATTCTGACACACACTACAACCCGGGCGAACCTCAGAAACCGTATGCTAAGTGAAACAAGCCAGCCACAAAAGCCCACATACTGTGTGATTCCATTTACATGAAACGTCTAGAACAAGCAAACCCTTAGAGATGGAAAGTCGATTAGTTGCAGGGGTGCTTAATGGGGACAAAGTTTCACTCTGGGGTGACGAAAGAGCTCTGGAGATGGATGGTGGGGACGGTTGCCCAACAATGTGAACATACTCAACGCCACTAAATTGCACACTTAAAAATAGCTAAATGGTAAATTTTATGTTGTGTATATTTAGTCACAATAAAAAAAGATTTTAAAAAAGCATTGCCAATAAAAACTTCACTTCTGGGGGCCGGCCCCGTGGCCGAGTGGTTAAGTTCGCGTGCTCTGCTTTGGTGGCCCAGGGTTTCGCCAGTTCGAATCCTGGGTGTGGACATGGCACCGCTCATGAAGCCATGCTGAGGCGGCGTCCCACATGCCACAGCTGGAAGGACCCACCACTAAAGATACACAACTATGTAGTGGGGGGCTTTAGGGAGAAAAAGGAAAAAATTTTAAAAAATCTAAAAAACCCCCCCAAAAAACCCACAAAACTTCACCTCTGGAAGAGAAAAACAAAAAGCACAGGCTTTAGTGTTGGACAGACATGGGTTTAATTTCCATTTTAACCAGCTGTCAGCTGTGTGGCCTAGAGCGAGTGGCATCACTTCTCTGGGCTCAGTTTCTCCATCTCTAAAATGGGAATAAGAAAAGTCTTCGTACTTGCATTTTGGGGCTGTGATAAGGATTAAATGAGATAACGCGTGAAGAGCCTGGAACAGCATCTGGCACATAGTAAGCACTCAGTAAACATTCTCTGATGTGGTGGATCTGAGAAATTCATCTTTCTTTGCCCACCTGAATCTTAGGTTCGTTAGAGGGCCTGGGCTGTCAATTCAGCACAGAGCATGTGCCTAGCTCTCTTGCCAAGAAGAAAAGGAACTGAGGTGCTAAGCCACGAACCCACTATCAAGGAAGAGAAGGCCAGAGGTCAACATGGGACTGAAATAGTCAGCCCGTCTAACTCAGGTCCGGTCTCATGCCCTCACTACGAAGAAATCAAGCTGCTCTGAGGTCTCCCAAAAGGGGTCAAGGAGCAGAGATCTGCCCCGTCTAGTAGACATCTCTTTCAAAGGCCGGGATTGAAGGACTCCCACTGGTGGGCACTCTTGCCACACCCATGCACCGTGAGTGAGGCCAGAGGTGCTGGGCACCCAGGGAGATGGGAGCACCTGTGAGGGACATCTGGCCGTGCTGACCCCCCCATCTTCACGGACCAGCAGAGGCCACTTGTCAAGGGAAGAAAGAACTTGGATGGACCTGTGAGAGGGCAGTGTTTTTACTTTGCTCAAAGCCGAGGGGCATTTCCCCCAGAGCTTTTGAGGAGGAGGGCAAAAACGTCATGTTGTTCTTACACATGGCGTTGGAGCGAGAAAAGGATATAAGCAAAACTGTGAGACAGAAATGTTTCCGGTCTTGGCTTTCCTCTACCATAGACTAGAACCAGTATCTAAAACAGAATGTGGCACACAGTTGGTGCTCTATAAATACTGAAGGAACAAATGAATAAAAACACTGTCCTCCCCATTCCCGTGGATTCTCCTCATCCAGGAAGCCTGTCTGGATTTGCCCATCTCTCTCACCTGCTGGGCTCCGGCTGGAGTCACCGGCAGCCCCGCCATGGCCCTGGTCCCAGCTCTCTGAGTCGCGGCTAGAAGAGCTCATTCGCGCCTCGGAGGCCCTGCGCACGGGAGGCCCATAGCTTCCTCGCCCAGGAGCCGAGGCCAGGTCGGGGCCTGGAAGGGAAAGCATGAATTGAGTGCAAGAAGGGCAGCGGGGGAATGGATGGAAGGGACTCCTGTCCCAAAGTAGAAGAGAGTCGGCAGGACCCACCTGTCTTCTGGCCTGGGCCCTTCCTGTCTTCAGTGTCACCTGGAGAGAGAGAAAATGGGTGAGGGGCACTGTTCAATGGTTTCTGGAAAGCCATTACTCAAGGAGCTCACAAAGGGGCCACCCACCAGCCCCAACAACTTTTTATTAATTAAAATCTCCCCTCCCAACCCCCAGTTAATGGAGTCCCCATTTATAGGCTCACGGTATTTCCTTTCACGCACAAACACATATGAGCACACACAGCCCTAAGAAAGAACAAACTGGGGTTGTTGGCTACAAATGGTTCTAGAATCTACTTTGTTTGCTTAATTTGCTTTCCCCAGGATTCACTGAGCCGGCTCCAGCCTCAAGCCCTTTGCACACGATACGGGCCCGCTCTACCACTCTAGTCAGAGGTCTCCCCAAAGAGCCCCTCCCCGTCAGCCCTTCTCTGGCCATTCCATCCCACATGGAGCCTCCAGTCACCATCTGTCCCCTTTACCTGCTGCATTTTCCTCCGGGCGTGTATCACTACCTCATATTATATTGTATGGGTATTTGCTGTTTGCTGAGCATGATTCCTCTACTAGAATTTTGGCTGCATGAGGGCAGGGATCTTGTCTGTTCCATTGACCCCTGTATCCCTCGGACATAGAGCAGACCCTGGAACTCAATCGGTGTCGGGTAAATGTTTGCTAAAAGAATATTGAAAGCACCTATCTTGGACGTAATTCCAAAACTAGAAAGTACGTTTACACCATTCCATTTTAAAAGATGCTTACTATAGTATGGTGTGGATATATCATAATCCATTCAACAATTCCTTTATTTCTGAATATTTAGTTTTTTCCAGTGTTTTTGCTACCACAAATAATGATGCGACAAATATACTTATGCATGTATCTTTTCATGTTGGTACTTGTACTGCTGTTAGATATAGTCCCAGAGAGGAATCGCTGGATCAAATGGTATATACACTTCAAATTTTAATAAATCTGCCATATTACTCTCCAAAAGGCTGGCGGTGACTTATTGTCCTCCCCACAGACACAGAGTCCCCACTTCTGCACACACTCGCCAGCACCGCATCTTACTACCAATAAGTTCTTAGGTGTCACCATGCCACAGTGGTGATGTTACTTCTTCCTTGTGAGGTGCATGGGTGTTACGTCAACTACATTTTCAGAGTCATTTGTTTTGTCCAGAGTTTATCCAATAAGCTAATTCATACTGTTTACATGTGCATCTTTATGAGTCTGTACATAGATGATTAACATTATATAATATTAGCCAACCCTTACTAAGTACTTCACTCTGCAGATCAGTTTACATGTAGTATCTCATTTAATCCTCAAAATAACCCAACGAGTTATTAACTCCATTTTATAATGAGGAATGAATCTCAGAGAGGTTAGGCTACTTGCCCGAGCTCACAGGGCTAGTCAATGGCACAGCTAGAATTCAAATTCAGGCCCTCCTGGCCTCAGATGTCCAAGCTCTTGACAGATACGCTGCGCAATCTTCTTAGCCTAGAGAGAGTAACTCTTAACCAGAAAGAAGAATGCTCCAGTGGTGGAACAGGGGGCTCCTCAGGGACGCAGTGTGTATTGACAATTTGGCGATTCTCTGCAAGGAGCAGAAATTGCTCAAGCCCTCTCAGGAGGAAAGCATTTGCTGGATGCCTTCTGAGTGCCAGGCATTGCACTGGGTACCTTGAGAAGTTATCTCATGGGAAATATGGTTGGGCACTTCAATTTCTGAGACCTTCAACTCTGATCTTCCTTTCAGAAGCACTGCCTGCACTCAATGCCAGAACCGTCATTCAGACCTGATGATTTATCACTTAGTGTTAACGGAAATTATTGCGAGGATCTCATCTGGTCAGTCCTAGTGTCCCCATTCAATTAAAATGTGTTTTTATTGTGGTTGCTTTTTTTCTTTTTACTCTTTTGCCTCTCCCTTTTCATGATAAATTTAATAATTAATAATGACACTTGGATAATAGTGATAATATCTACAGTAGTGGGAATTTTCTTTTACTAATTTCCTTTCTATTCATCTTTCACTTTTAATTAGCTCAATTTCAGATTTGTCCATGATTGATAGAAGAAACATCAGGGACCCCTAATCTCTCGTGGGTTCCATGTGTATTTTGGTTGTAGGAGTCTCTATCAGTTCCTAATTTTAGTTTCCACCTCCTCTGTACCTCTAAATACTCCATCAGGGATGACAACAAAGCCTTTTGGCAGCCTGGCATTGCTGGAGAGTTCCCTGTGCTGCCCTCTTGATAATGATTCATGGTGAGTTGTGAAGGGGCCGTAGATGTCCTAGACCCCAGGCCAGAGGCTGGCTGTCCACCAACTGGGTAGAAAAACAGATCTGACGATGTCAGGACGTCCTCCAGGTAGACCAGTTACCAAGACCTGTCCTTGGTCCTGAAAGGAGAAGCTGTTTTGTCTTACCTCGCGTTGGAGCGCGGGCGGTGTGCTTGGGCTCGGGGACAGGCTGCTCGGGAGCGGCGGGCTCGCTGACCGGCTGCTGGGGCTTGGTCTTCTTTATAGGCATAGGCTGTGGGAGGACCTGTTTGGGGAAGCCCTTGAAGAACCACGCCCCAGAACGCTTCCACACCTGGGGGTGGAGACGTAGAGGATGAAGACATGCAGCCAAGCACTATTGCCCCTGCCTTCGTGAGTGCGGACTTGGAATTGTGCTCCCTGCCCACAGCACACTGGCACAATAGCCAGGACACTTTTCTTACCACTACACTGTCTTTTACAATTTTTATTTGATTTACACAATATCCCTGAACACTCAAGAGAGAGGGCCTGCGTATACGCATTTTCTTGATGGAGAAAGTTGAATATCAGAAAGGTTATGAACTGGCATAAGGTGGCATGGCCAAATTCACTCAAAAACTCAGGGACTTTTTCTGCCAGGGTTCACAGCTGAACTGGTTCCCTTTATACCAACCCTTTAAGACACATACCTGACCAGGTTCCCCAGACCCCAACTGCCACCCTGTCTCCCTGGTCCCAGAGAGGAAGGGAGAACTGGACAAAGACTGGAGGTCCTCCAGATGGGGCCAGTGCACTCACCTCTCTCTGCTCGATGCAGATTTTGCAGAGCCACACGGAATGCGGGCGGTTGTTGGAGGTCTCCACCCCACACTTGGTGCAGACATTCTAGGGACAAAACATAGTCCAGTGCACACTCACATAGGCCAGGCTCTGAGCTGCCAGTGAGCAGGAAAAGTGGCCGGGAAGGGTAGCAATGGAGATGCATTCTGTCTTGGTGGATGTAAAGAGCTACAATTCTCCTTGTCTCACCTCCCTCCCATAACAAAGGCCGGTTGGAATAAAGTTACAATTTGGGTCTTAATTTTCAATAACAAGAACTGGAATGACCCCCAAGCACTGGATGAAGGAATTCTCCAAGAGTCCCCTTGGGTCTGAGTTTTCAGCACCCATACAGGGGAGATCATTGTCACGATTTTTTTAAGAGGAGAGGCCATATATCCATTTTGTTTACTAATTTATTTTTCTTCCTTTCCCAAATGAATCTGAGACAACTCAGACTACAGGTTCAACTCTTCAAGGAGAAGGAAGTTATGTGAGTAAATGCCACGGCTGTGTGATGCAGCATCACACTTTTGGCTGAGTTCCTGGAGTCTAGGCAGATAGGAAAGCCTACTAGGTGACAAAATTCTCACTATCTGGGTGCCTGCAACAGACAAGTTTTTTAGGAATAAACTCTCCCCAGTATCTCATTCTAAATAGATAAACTTTCCCCAAAATCGCATTCTAAATGCTTGGACCACAAGCAGGAATTGCCAAGTGATGTTATGGACGTCTCCAGCTGGGTTGTTCCCTGAATTCCTTTCCTGGGAATTAGACAGACCAAGGATAGTCGTATCTCTGTCCTAGAATTGTTGAGGGCAGACAGCCTGAGGAGAGGGTACAGGGTGGAGAAGTACAGGGAGGCCCCTTCACAAATGAAGGCTCAAGAAGCCCGGTGGTCCTCACATGGCTGGAGAAGGGCTTTCTAAGTCACTTGCACTATAACCCAGGGTAAGAGAATGCTGGGTAAGCCTTCCACATACACAGAGGTGTAGACGCATGCCCGGCATGCTCTTTAGCCTGAGGCATAACTTGCTAAGCCACACCCAGGAGACTTGCATGCTCAACTGTAACTCATGTCCCACTTCAAGCTCCCAAGTGCATCCTGGATAGAGCTGAGCTCCAAGAGGACAGAAGGGTCACAGTGACTCCCAGGGGAGGAACCAGGATCAGGGTACCTCGGAAGACAGCCAGGCATGGCAGCATCCCAGAAGGAATCGCATTCTGGCAACTACTCTTCAGGATCCAAGCACCATCCCCAAGACCCAGGGACCCTCAGGGCTCAAGCCCAGGCCTGGCCCTTCTGCACGTGATGAGCAGGGAAGAGGAGGGCAGTGGTACCTTCTTGCAGTCCTCACACACTACGCAGGCAGAGCCCAGCATCCCCAGCTGTTCTCCACACAGTATGCAGCGGTCCACCCCGTCCCCAGCCACATTCTTCCTCATGTTCTCCAGACGGTCCACCAGGCGCCTGGAAGCAGAGACAGGGTAATAAGCACCTTATTACCAGGAAGCACCAGCATCTCCCACAGTATCAGGCTGACGGTCTTACCCTTCTTTGAGTCACGGACTCTTGAGCATCTAATGATGACTGTTGGACCCCTGCCCAGAAAGAGGCACATGCACATGACATTCTGATACATTTTCAGATCACAGAACCCATATCCCATATCTCCCACCTATTCTATTGACTGCAGATTAAGAACCTTATCTAGTCCTCTCTATCTCCTGTCACCTCCTCCAAGGAAACTGCCTCCTGGGCTCCAGATCTCCTCATCTAATTGTCTACATGATGTCTTCCCTTCGATGTCTTCACAGGCGTCTCAAACTTGTGCTTTCAACTGAACTCCATCTCGGCTGCTCCCCATCCTCTAATGTACCTCCTCCTGTTCTCAAGAAATGGCACTAACTTGCTCAAACCAGGAATCTGGGGGTCTTCCTCGACCCCCTCCTCCCCTGATAATCAGTGATCCAACCAAATTCTATTGCATCTTCCTCCCTAACATGTCTAGAATCCACCCATTTCTCTCCATCTTCAAGTCACCGTCATCTCCCCTAGGGGACCGTAGTAACCTCTTAATAATCTCCCTGCTTTCATTCACCACCTTCTGTGATCTGTTCTCCCCACCACAGCCATGGTGCCATTCCTAAAACATAAATCTGATTATGCCACTCCCACTCCACTCTCTAAAACCTTTAATTGGTTCCCATTTCACGAGGTTTCCACGCCCTGCGTGATCTGGCCCCAAGTGAAACCTTAAACCTCTTCTCCCTCTTGGTCTTTTTTGAGGAAGATTAGCCCTGAGCTAACTACTGCCAGTCCTCCTCTTTTTTGCTGAGGAAGACTGGCCCTGAGCTAACATCTGTGTCCATCTTCCTGTGCTTTATATGTGGGACGCCTACCACAGCACGGCTTGACAGGCGGTGCCATGTCCGCACCCGGGATCCGAACCAGTGAACCCCGGGGCCGCCGAAGGGGAACATGAGAACTTAACCACTGCGCCACCGGGCCAGCCCCCTCCCTCTTGGTCTTGCTTTCAACGCTCTCCTTCAATGGTTCTCTCAGTGTACTCACCAGACCATCAGCATCAGGCTCACCTGGGAACATGTTAGAAACACACATCTTTGGGCCCCTGCCCCAGACTAACTGGATCAGAGTTTCTGAGGGTGGAGCCCAACAATCTGTTTTAACAAGGCCTCCTGTGGATCCTGACGCACACGCAAGATTGAGAACCATTGCTCTGGTTACTCAGGTCTTGGAGTTCCAGTTCTATCTGCCTCAGTACTTTTGCACATTCTGCTCCTTGTGCTTGGAATACAGTCTCCACCCCAACACACGTATTTGTGATCTCTCTCACACACACACACACACACATACTTTACCGGCCAAGATTCCCCTCATGCTTCAAAATTCCAGCTGACTTATCACTTCCTCCTGGAAGCCTCTCTGACCGTCCATTTTATTTCTTCTAATAACAACCCTGTACTTCCGCACAGCGCTTGTCACATGTATAAGTAACTGTGAGATTATCCGCATTGACTACGTAGTTAATTGTGAGTCCATCTCTGGCTGCCCCTTGAACTATGGGGTCCTGGGTCAGGGACCTTGTCTGTCCCATTCCTTGCTATGTCCCTTGGCCCAGAGCGAGTGTTCACACACGATGGTTGAACCAATGAGTGAATGAATGAATGAATGAGGGCAGCCCACTTTCCACATTTATATCCAGCCAGCGCAGGCTGACCTGAGCATCAAGTGACTTATGATGACAGCTTGTACTTATACAGCACTTACGATACACCTGGCAGGGTACGAAGTGCTTTGCCTCCCAACCCTAGGAGGTAGACACTGCTATTTTACGTGTGAGGAAAGCAAGGCACAGAGAAGTTAAATGACTTGCCCAAGGTCACACAGCTAGAAAGTGGCAGAGACAAAATTAGAAGCCGGTTTCATGTGCATCATACCAGGGCTTCTCAAACTTCATGTGCACACAGATCATGTGGCCATCTCGTGAAAATGCAGATTCTGAAACTCCAGGTCTGGAGGAGGGCTGGAGTTTCTAGAAAGCTCCCAGGTTCCCAAGTGCTCCCGGATGATGCCACTGGTCCCTGGGCGCACCCTAAATGGCAAGGCTGTGTAACAAGCACAGCTGCGGGGCACCCTGGGCCGGTCTCGGGTGGTTTTTTTGACACTTCCCACCAGCTTGAAGTCATGTCCTTGCCCTTCCCTCCAACAAGATGTCACTATCCCCACTCCAGCCACAGCCAGAGGACACGGATGGAGCCGGCCACTGCCCAGCCCTCCACGGCCTGGATCCCAGCTGAGGACACAGTGGGATAGCGTGAGAGCCACTGGGATGGGACACGGGCATCACGGGTTCCAGGAGTTCCCTCCCAGCGCTGCCTGGCAGCTACATGATGCTCACTCTCTCCACAGGCCCCCCGCGTTCCTGCCCGCCCCCGAAAACGCTCTGCTAGCGAGTTATAAACAGCAGCTTCTCCCTTCGTCTTCCATTCAGCACCCAAGGAAGAGCCAACAGCAGCCTGTGGGCTCTGGGGCCCCCGCTGTGACCAGATGGAACAGAGCTGCTCAGGGAGCAGGGGGTGCCGACCCGAGGGCAGCCCGCTCTTCCCTTTCTCCCCTCCCCCATGCCCTGTCCCCCTCCCCGTGTTTTCCCTAGAAATTGCTTTCATAGGAGGATGGAGGCGGTAGCAACCAGGAGCGAGCCCCCATCCGAGGTCTCAGAACACCCAGAATAACAGTGGCTAACGTTTACCAAGCCCCCCACTGTGTGCCAGGCGTGGAGACAGGCACTCCATCTGGATTTTCTTAACGAGTCCTTCCAGCAGCACTATAAGCTAAGGAACATTCTTGTCCCCATTTTCCAAATGAGAAAACTGAGGCACAGAGAGGTTAAGAGGTTTACCGAAGTCACACAGCTGGGAGGTAGAGAAAGCTGGGGTTCGGAGCCAGGCAGCCTGGCTCCTGAGTCCCTGTCCTTCACTGCTCCACCTCGTGCCACCACCGCCGAGCAGAGCCACGGGAGCTTCTGGAGCAGTCCAGTCCTACTCTGCTCAGTGGCCCTGCCTTCCACACCCTAAGGGAGCCTCCAGCACTGGAAGTACCATGTCACACACACACTGTCACCCCAGCCGGCTCTGCCCCACCTGCCTCTCGCTCCCTGAGGTTGGGACAACGCACCACCAGCTGAGCCATCATCTTGTTCTCCCAAGAATCCTCAAGATGGGTCGAGAAATCTGGATTTTACCCCCAGATTTTGCCTCTCTGGGCTTCAATTTCCTCATCTACGAAACAGAAGATGTTAGGCGAAACCAGCTGTTGTCAAACTGTGCTTGATGGCACCCCAGGGTTCCTTCGAGGCAGTTTAGGGGCCGCCCACTGTCGTGGTGTGTTAGGAAGGATTCTGAGGGGCCAGGAGACCCCATTTCAGCCAGAGCCTGTCTGCACTTGTCGCTTTGGTTTGTTTGGGCTATTGAATTAGATTTCCTTTGGAAAGTTGGTTCCATGGTTTAAAGAAACAGTTCGAAGTTGTCTGGAACAGGTGAAATTCAGGATACCTTTCAATAAGACACTGAAGTGAGCTAACAGAGGCCGAGGATGGTAATTACGTGGTGACATTTTTCTTGTACACACCTACTTTCTTGCTCTCACCTCTTGTCTCCTTCCCCCACTGCCCTCACCAGGAAACGGTTAGCGTTTTTTTCTTCCCACTCTATCATTAGGGGTCCCAAAGCACAGAGAGGGTGAGAGGCATGCCTGAGGTCACTCAGCCAGGGCGGGAATCTACTTCTCTGCTTCAGTAAATCACCTTTCTTTCCATGACGCCCCCAGGACCTCCTGCCTCAGGTCAAGCCTTGCCGACCCAGCTCGGGAAGAGAGAGTGGGACAAAAGATCCAGTTCTGAACTGCGGTGTGCTTTGCTTGGGAACTCAGAAGGCTCCCTGACTCCCCTCGGAAAATAAAGGCCCTGGATTCACCCACCACTTGCAAACCCCCATTCTAGCCTCTCTACCAAGATGCCCGCTCCTTCCACCATTCAATCCTAAATGGCGAAAAGCCCTATTAACACACCTTGTACTAGGAGTGTCTCATTAGCTTCTATCAGTGGCAGCAAATGGCACGGAAAAACAACAGATTTAAGATCATTATTCAGATGTCTCAGCTCGGGCACCCTTGTTATTTGTGGATTCGGTACAGACCAAGAAAGAGAGAAGCGTGTGGGGGGCACGGGCAGCCCTTTCTCTGCTCGAAGACCGTGGTGAGCAGCCTGCCCCTTGCACACCTTCTCTGAAGCCCCAGACGCTGGGACCTCAACATGGAGGGCCCCAACCGCCAAGGAGTATAAACTTGGAAATAAACTTTGCAGGAAGCTAAATCGAAATGATGTTACGGGAGATCATGAGTCACAAATGGGTCTTTATCCTGGTGATAAGGCAGCTCAGCTTCTTTGCCCCAGAAGCCACGTTTGTTGTTCCCAGTCTTGGCAGGAGGGCCCTAAACACATCACGGAAGATGCTCTCAATCCTCAATTCACGTCAATCTCCCAGAGATCATTAAGAGACTATCAATGCATGGGGCCCCATCAAAACCCTCTCAGCCACGGGTACCAGCATTTCAGCCTGCAGCCCTGTTGAGATCTGCTGTGTGGAGGGATGTTGCCAAAATTTACGGTGCTTCTAGATCACCTGGGGAGAGCATTCAACATTCAGACACTGATGCTGCGGGGCTGGGGTGAGGCCTGGGAGTCTGCGTTTGGGAGCGGCTCTCTGTAGGGTCCTGATGCTGGTGAATCCCTGGCCACACATGGAGAAATGCTGCAGGAAGGAGGTTGTGGGACAAATCACATGAGAAAATGCTCTCCTTATTATAAGTGGGGAAAAGACCCCAAACCCAGGATGCAGAGCTGTGATCAGCGTGTAAGTAGGGTTTGGACATGGTCATGTGGACATCCT